ACATCTTCTGTCCAGCTGTAACTGACTTGACATCTTCTGTCCAGCTGTAACTGACTTGACATCTTCTGTCCAGCTGTAACTGACTTGACATCTTCTGTCCAGCTGTAACTGACTTGACATCTTCTGTCCAGCTGTAACTGACTTGACATCTTCTGTCCAGCTGTAACTGACTTGACATCTTCTGTCCAGCTGTAACTGACTTGACATCTTCTGTCCAGCTGTAACTGACTTGACATCTTCTGTCCAGCTGTAACTGACTTGACATCTTCTATCCAGCTGTAACTGACTTGACATCTTCTGTCCAGCTGTAACTGACTTGACATCTTCTGTCCAGCTGTAACTGACTTGACATCTTCTGTCCAGCTGTAACTGACTTGACATCTTCTGTCCAGCTGTAACTGACTTGACATCTTCTGTCCAGCTGTAACTGACTTGACATCTTCTGTCCAGCTGTAACTGACTTGACATCTTCTGTCCAGCTGTAACTGACTTGACATCTTCTGTACAGCTGTAACTGACTTGACATCTTCTGTCCAACTGTAACTGACTTGACATCTTCTGTCCAGCTGTAACTGACTTGACATCTTCTGTCCAGCTGTAACTGACTTGACCTTTTCTGTCCAGCTGTAACTGACTTGACCTACTGTATTGTGAATGTGTGTTTTGTCATTTGTCATAGATCTGTTTGCAGTAAAGATTGACAATTATGATCCAGAGATTATTACAAAACTAAGAAGAATTTTTCAGGTAATATAAGAAAAGTCTGCATGGTTTGGTTACATTCTAATACGAAAATAAGCACAGAAGAAAGCACCCACATAGAGAGTGGCGAGGGAAAGAGTGGCAAGCACCAGGAAACACAATACAGGGTTACATAGACGGGAAGAGAGCGGCACAAGGTAGGCGCCTTGAGAAGGAAAAGGCGAGGAACCGTCATGACCTGCTCGTGAGCGGCAGCACTTGCTGTTGACTGTTGTGTGATATTGTTTTGGTATAGTCACATTATGCTAGATAAATGTATGATAGAGAAATATCTGGGTAGACAAACATATGTCACCTGAAAACCACTGTTGTTGTTTTGCAGCTGAAAAATCATTCCTGTGCCATGTCTGCAACTCAATGTTTTCCACCAAGGGCAGCCTGAAGGTGCACATGCGTTTGCACACTGGTGCTAAACCATTCAAGTGTACCCACTGTGATCTTCGGTTTAGAACATCTGGGCATCGCAAGAGCCACATGCTGTCTCACTTTAAACGTAAGCTGTGTTTTGTTTCTGTGTTGCTGTAAACTATGAATGTTTAGAAATAGACAGGCAGATGAGCTGACAAAGGCTACAGGAAACCTAAGGCAGCCCCGCCCCCCTCTCTTCTCAGAGCTAGAACATGTCAGACACCCTTAAAACAATCCTTGTAGCTGAACTGTAGAGTTGCAGACTAGCGAATCTTGTCAGGCCTGTAAGAAAAGACAATACAGAACAAAATTCTGTCTGTTTATTAAGGAGAAGTGGAGAACTTGATGACAACTGGCAAGATTGATAGAAGGAGGATAGAGGAAAAGCAAGGAGTAGCTTGATGGTTTGGTGACATGCATGGGGCGGAAGAAAAGTAGTACCTGACACCTGATTCTGCTGTTTGTATAAGATGGCAAATATGTTCACCTGTACTTTTCGGCATGGCACATGATGATATTTCTAGGCACATGAAGGCACTAGGTGATTACACCCCCTCCCCCTTTGCAGTGAAAAAAGGGAGTGGTGTACCAGAAGAGTTTGAGAAACACTGGGGTAGATAAAAGCATGTCTCTATGTGGTGTGTTCACAGAGATTCTGCCTGTTTTCTCTTCCACTCTTCATAGAGATTCTGCCTGTTTTCTCTGTCACTCTTCATAGAGATTCTGCATGTTTTCTCTGTTACTCTTCATAGAGATTCTGCATGTTTTCTCTGTTACTCTTACTAGAGATTCTACTTGTTTTCTCTGCCTCTCTTCATAGAGATTTTGCATGTTTTCTCTGTCACTCTTTATAGAGATTTTGCATGTTTTCTCTGTCCCTCTTCAAAGAGATTCTGCATGCTTTCTATGTTACTCTTACTAGAGATTCTACTTGTTTTCTCTGCCACTTTTCATAGAGATTTTATGTTTTCTCTCATTCATATTTGACAGCTGAAGGAGTGCCAAAGAAGAAGATGCAGAAACTTCCCTCACAGTCATTGTTAACTTCATCACAGGAGAACAATGTGCAGCCACACATGTTTATACTCACAAGTAGCCAGCAGCCTGTAGCACAGAATACCTCTGCTAACCAGGTAACCGTTTATTACATTTGATTCACCAGAATAGTGTAACCAGGTAACTGTTGATTACATTTTAATCTGCCAGAATAGTTTTACCAAGTAACTGTTGATTACATTTGATTCAGCCAGAATGTTAAATTCTGTCGTGCTAATGGCTCGTCAAAGATATGTAACGTGCAAAGAAAAAGAATGTACCTATTCCTGTGGTCACAAAAGTCCAGAACCTGCGGGCTGCTCCCTGCTGATCTCTGGAGGGCGCAGCCCTTGTCGAGCGGGAGGCCTTATACGGTTGTGAGGTTAAGCAGTTATGTTCAGGACGTGATGATCCCTTGGGTGAGCCCAGAACCAGAGCGCCATGTGCCTCCTTGGATGGCGGGGAATGCCCATGATCTGCCCCTGCCTTCATTTGAGGGCCAACCGTTCCACAAGGGGCTGCCCTAAAGGGATACTCCGGGGGCAACACCTGCAGAGAAGGCGACAAAGAGGACACCACACAAATCAGGCAACGTATCGACCCACACAAAACAATGGCCACAGTCATCCTAGAAATACGGCTGACGTCTTCCATCAAAGTCGGAGTACATCTGCCCGTGAGGCAGGGAACACAAAACGGTTGTACACGCAAAACTCAGGTCCAGGTAAAAGCCAAAAGTCCAAGCGGACGATTAACCGGACCTTCCGCCATAATTCACAGCCTGTGAACGAAGAAGAAAAATAGAAGATTCATTCAAAGTAATTGGACCAGATAACCATTGATTGACTGGACAAGGAACAGAACAAGTATATAGTTTAACTCGGCCCTGGAGATGTGAATATAGACTAGAAGGTTATATTTCATTTACAGAAAACAGTCCCACAGAGCTGGTGCAGGGTAACTGCCAATGACAGGAAAGCAGTTAAAACTGTGAACAAGAAACCTATAAAATAATGTAAAGTAGAGGTTTCTTTACGTACCAGTGGCACATCAAGCTAGACTCAAGTTTGCATAGACCAATCAGTCCTCAATGGTGGTATGGTGAGCATCACAATGGCTGCTTTTACTTCCCAGGACTTTACCGTCCCCATTTAAGACTGAGTTTACCCAGGAGCCACTGTATTGTATGAAAAAATGTGGCTCTGTGTGCGGTTTGAGTGTACATTCAGGAGGATGAGAGGCAGTGTTTGAGTATACAGCCAGGAGGATGAGAGGCAGTGTTTGAGTATACAGCCAGGAGGATGAGAGGCAGTGTTTGAGTGTACATTCAGGAGGATGAGAGGCAGTCTTTGAGTATTTAGCCAGGAGGATGATAGGCAGTGTTTGAGTATACAGCCGGGAGGATGAGAGGCAGTGTTTGAGTGAGTATATAGCCAGGAGGATGAGAGGCAGTGTTTGAGTGAGTATACAGCCGGGAGGATGAGAGGCAGTGTTTGAGTGAGTATACAGCCGGGAGGATGAGAGGCAGTGTTTGAGTATACAGCCGGGAGGATGAGAGACAGTGTTTGAGTATACAGCTGGAAGGATGAGAGGCAGTGTTTGAGTGAGTATACAGCCAGGAGGATGAGAGGCAGTGTTTGAGTATACAGCCGGGAGGATGAGAGGCAGTGTTTGAGTGAGTATATAGCCGGGAGGATGAGAGGCAGTGTTTGAGTGAGTATACAGCCGGGAGGATGAGAGGCAGTGTTTGAGTGAGTATATAGCCGGGAGGATGAGAGGCAGTGTTTGAGTGAGTATACAGCCGGGAGGATGAGAGGCAGTGGAAATGTGGATATTGAAAAGAATAAGTTGTGTTTCATGATTTAAAAAAAAAAAAATACAGATGTTTGGAAAGACTGCAGATAAAGATAGAATTTTTGAAAGAAATAACAAATGAAATACTTTGACTACTTTAATACTTAGACTACTTTGAAAGACATAATACACCTTTAAAAACAATACTGGAGAGAATTGTTAAGAGCAAGAAGTAGACAGTGATAGAAATTTGAGAACAACATAAAGAGATGGATGAGAGAGCCTACAATCAAGAGACAGAGGATACTGGAGATCCACTGCAGCCAGTCTTTGTTGTGGAGATGGCACCTGACTGATTGATGGTTCAAGCAGTCCATATGTAAATTAGCTGTTTTTCACCTGAACATTGTCTGTGTGGACCCCAGAGATACAGTGTGCTTAGTGGTCATCCAAGCTTTGGGTACCCAATTATTAGGGAAAGACACAAGGTGAATAGTGCCATTTTATTGCATTTGTACCTGTTGATGAGGAGTGGCTGGCCATACGGTTAAGAACACAATGACCTTGTGACCTTGTTCAAACCCTTGTTAATGCCCTTAGTGACAGCACTAGCTAAGCAACGCTAAATCCTCAGCTCTACCCCCTCCTCCCCCCCCCCCCATTTACCTATGGACATCACAAAAGTGGTAAACTCAGACCGTAATGGTAGTGTTTCGGGCAGTAGCTGTTGTCTAACATCATATGCACAGATTAGATTCAAAAGTCAATATCCCTTGGTCATCAGATATTTGACTGCCAATGATAGAAGAAGGAACACTAGAAAAGGGGCTGTTGATATGCAAGTGTTAGTTTGCTGTAGGTGGCCCAGGAATTTCATATAGGTGGATAGAAATGAGTTCCTGTCACTAAATTGTTGTAGCTCTTCTCAGTCTGCTGAAAGACAGAACAGAGAACCAGGGGAAGATGTGTTTTGAAAGAAGTAAATTGTCTGTCTGTTGCAGGTTGTTGGTCTTGAGCAGGCCCTGAATGCTCAAGTTGTTGACCAGTCCATGGCTAACCAGGTCATCAGTGTTGACCAGTCCATGCTGCAGGGACAAGCTATCATGCCAGTTCAGCTAACTGTCAGTGATGGCAGCGCCGGCGATCCATCAGGCTTGCCTCCTCAGGTGTCTATTTTTTGCTGTTATGTCGGCTGATCTTGATTGTTACACTGCTATGACATTGGTGCATTTGATCTTGGGGCATTTGAGGATTGTTTGGGGCTTTAGAAAAGATTGAAATCCAAGCACATAAATATAAACACTAAAAGTGCACTGTTTGACACAGTATTCTTGCCAACACTGTGCTATCAGTGTCAAACATGGACACTGTCTTCAGAAGACAGAATAAAAATAGTCACAACTAGGGCTGTACCGAATAGTGATTTTCACTATTAGGCCGAATATGAATAGCTGGACCAACTATTCGGCCGAATACGAATATGAATAGTGAATTATCATCATCAGATGCTTAGCCAACTGGCATAGGCGATTACACCTCGCCACAATCTGCGATCTCCTGCAGCATGTATTAGTTTGTGTGCTGACACACCTTCATGCCATGCAACAAGACTGTCAAGAATCTTATCTTGTTATCTTCCTCTATCTCTCCTTCCACATATCTTTCCAGTGGTCACAACATGTTCTTTTTTCCCTCTTCTCGTAACATGGCCGAAAAATGATGATCGTCTCCTTCTGATGTCTGTGATAAGTTGTCTTCGGGCTCCCGCCTCTTTCAAAACCTCTTGGCTGCTCTTTTTGGCTGTCCAAGGTATTGTAAGCATTGTTCTGTAAAACCACATCTCTGAGGCCTCCAGAAATTGTTTGGCCTGCCAACCGATTGTCCAGGACTTACAGCCATATGTTAAAACTGGATGTATGTAGCAAGCAAGAATTCTTTTCCAACCTTCAGTGACAAAGATATATTGCATAAGATCTTCTTCATTTTATAAAATGCAGTTTTTGCCTGTCCTATTCTGTTTCTTATTTTAGTAATGCATCTTCCATCTGATGTTAGCCCGATACTTGAATTTCTGTACTTGTCCCAAAATAAAACCATTGACTTTTATTACACACTTAGGAATAATTTGTTTCTTTGATACCACCATCACTTCTGTCTTCCCACTATTCAAACTGATTCCCATTCTTCCACTTTCTAATAGTGAATAAAATAGATCTTTAAAAAAAAAAAAAAACATCCAAAATGTCAAATGTACGCTGAAATTTTACTTCACAAAATGTAGTACAGAATAGTAAACATTTAAAAACATTTCATGTTTTGCATCCTTCAGTCAGCCAGTCTGTGGTAACTAATACATAGGAATGAAAGCATTTTTAGTTTTATAACAAGTAACTAAACTTGTAAATTGTCACTGACAGCTTAGTTAATCCATGAAAGCTGCATTAGCTTTCAACAAATAAAAATCGTTCCATGTTGACAGCATTAAGGCAGCTTCTTGTCTCACTGAAGGTATTTCCAGCGGAACTAAACAGACGTTCACTTGGTACGCTCGTAGGTGGTGCACACAGATCACGCTTGACAGTATGAACCAAGGTGGGAAATCTTGACATGTTTATTTTGAGCCAGTCCAGAAACGCGTGTAAGGTAACCACTATTCGTATTCGGCCCGACCGCAACTATTCGGCCGAATACTGAATAGTTATTAGGTCCACTATTTGGCCCCGAAGCGAATATTCAGTACAGCCCTAGTCACAACACAGATTGTTACGTATCATGCTAAGTGTAACAAGGAATGATTGAGTTAGGAACAATGATATCAGGAGGAGAACCAGCACAGATCTAATGCTGAACTCTACCGGTAGACAAGAGAATCAATAGTTTGGCCATGTAACAAGATTAGCAACAGATAGAACAGTAGCAGAGCAAGAGATCGATCATGTAGAATATGGACCGTGGAAATATCGGAGACTCTTAAAAAGTACTAAATATGAAGTGAACAGAAAGACCATTCCAGAGATCTCTTTCTGCTCTGGCACTGCAAGGCATTCAAGGAATTTGAAAAAAAGGAAGAAGATGGGGACTGTAGAATATGTCACACATTTTCGGATGCAAATATACGAAGCAGAAAGTTAAAATGAAAGGTTTAGTGGGAAAATACAATTTATTGCAATCAGAAATGACAATCAACTCCAGACAAGTACAGTAAATGGATTAATTGTCATGGAAGTAATTTGGTTGGAAATATCTGGTCACCTTAATACAACAGATGGAGGGTATACTAAAGAGATGTAGATAGCTTTGGTCAGAACAAGTCTGCTAGGTTGCTAGCTGAGCACTTTGTATGCAGCAGATCTGAGTTTTTGGAAGCCAGGTCTCTGGAGCTATGTGGAGTCCGTACTGATGTATTCTTGTTAGTGTTTACAGCACTGTGAACTCTGGCAGAAAGTTCTGGTTGTTTGTCTAATTCTGGACTCTGATCTTGTTCCAGAACTGGAGTTTTTGCATGTATAGATCTAACTATTGGGAGTCACCGTGGCGTAGCGGCTAGACGCTTGCATGTGGATCGGAAGTTCATGGGTTCGCTCCCTGGCAGAGCTGGACTTTTTTTCTTGAAAAATGAGCTTGGCTCTCAGGTCGACCCAGCCTTGAGTGGGTACCGGGTGCAGTCCCGTGAAGTAAAGGCGGCTGGCGTGATGCTGACCACATCACCCATCTTGTTCTGTTTGTGTATAAAATAAAGGTCTAGCCCTATATACCCAGTCCGCCTGAAAGGCGTGGAAAAGGGTCCTTTACTTTACTTATAGATCTGATTGTTGGTTGCTCACTTCTGAAGCACATGCACTGTAAAATGAAAACAAAATGGCACACACCCTTAATTAAGCTATCTGTTTACAACATGCTTGTTAGAGCTAGGCCACGGAACTCACAGGGTAAAATATTGTGTGGAGAGTATGGAAGTGAGTGATGGACAAGTAACAGCTTAGTGAGAACACATCTAAGCACCAAATAACATAAGGCTGCCCTCTCCTTAATTGCCTCTTAGGACATGCATGGGAGTTCAGTGTTAGTAATATTTGCTTCCCTTGTGGTGTCCAGGGACACATGTCTGAACGCACATCTTTTGCTTCATCATATGTGAAAATCAGTTATGATACACACATAAAAAAAGCAGTGAATATTGGATATTTTTTTTGGGGGGGGGGGGGGGGCGGTGGGGGGTACTGAAATACAAGAAAAGAATAAGAATGAATGATGATATGTCTGCTTGAGTGAAAGCCTCAGTGGACAACATCTGGTGTAACGTGTGTGTGATGTGCTGCTTGAGTGAAAGTCTCAGTGGACAACATCTGGTGTAACGTGTGTGTGATGTGCTGCTTGAGTGAAAGTCTCAGTGGACAACATCTGGTGTAACGTGTGTGTGTGATGTGCTGCTTGAGTGAAAGCCTCAGTGGACAACATCTGGTGTAACGTGTGTGTGTGATGTGCTGCTTGAGTGAAAGCCTCAGTGGACAACATCTGGTGTAATGTGTGTGTGATGTGCTGCTTGCTTGTCTGTGACAGGTGCTGCAAGGCTTGGATGGCACCATACAGTTCCACTTCAGCACTCCCATGGGTCAGCTGGGTCAGAGCTTCCAGCTGACCAGCCTGGACTCCAGCTTGATACAGCAGGCAGTAAGTTTGCAGTCTGTGCATGTGCAGCAACTCTTTCTGTGACATCTTCCTGTCTGTCTGTCTGAATCTTTATCTCTGTCTGCAAATCTTTATCTCTGTCTGCAAATTGTTCCTCTCTGTCTGCAAATTGTTCCTCTCTGTCTGTAAATGTACATCTCTGTAAATGTACATCTCATCTCTGTAAATGTACATCTCTGTATATGTACATCTCTGTAAATGTACATCTCATCTCTGTAAATGTACATCTCATCTCTGTAAATGTACATCTCATCTCTGTAAATGTACATCTCTGTAAATGTACATCTCTGTAAATGTACATCTCATCTCTGTAAATGTACATCTCTGTAAATGTACATCTCATCTCTGTAAATGTACATCTCATCTCTGTAAATGTACATCTCATCTCTGTAAATGTACATCTCATCTCTGTAAATGTACATCTCATCTCTGTAAATGTACATCTCATCTCTGTAAATGTACATCTCATCTCTGTAAATGTACATCTCTGTAAATGTACATCTCTGTAAATGTACATCGCATCTCTGTAAATGTACATCTCTGTAAATGTACATCTCATCTCTGTAAATGTACATCTCATCTCTGTAAATGTACATCTCTGTAAATGTACATCTCTGTAAATGTACATCTCTGTAAATGTACATCTCATCTCTGTAAATGTACATCGCATCTCTGTAAATGTACATCTCTGTAAATGTGCATCTCTGTAAATGTACATCTCATCTCTGTAAATGTACATCTCTGTAAATGTACATCTCATCTCTGTAAATGTACATCTCTGTAAATGTACATCTCATCTCTGTAAATGTACATCTCTGTGAATGTACATCTCTGTAAATGTACATCTCTGTAAATGTACATCTTTGTCTGTTAATATATTTATCTTTGTATGAATCTGTATGAATCTACATTGCTTGTCTATGAATTTACATCTCTGTGAATAATCTTTTAACTATGAATCTACATCTCCATCTTGTGTCTGTAATTGTACATGTAAATGAATCAACATCTCTATGAATCTACATCACTTGTCTATGAATCATGTCTATTAATCTATGTCTCTTGACTATGAATCTGCATCTGCATAAATCTACATGTATATGAATGTACCTGTCTATGAATTTAGATCTCTATGAATCTGCATCTCTTGTCTATGAATCTAGATGTAAATGAATCTGTGTGTATATAAATGTGTAACTCTGTGAATGTACATCTGTATGAATCTAAATCAGTTTAAATCTACATCTCTGTGAATCTGCAACCCTATATATCTGCATGAATCTTCATCCCTGTAAATCTACTTCTACCTGAATCTTTATCTCTATGAATTGACATATCTTGTCTATAAATCTACATCTTTGTGAATCTAAATATCTTGTCTATGAATCTACATCTATGTTCGTATACATCTGTATGAATCTATATATCTGTAAATCTACATCTCTGTGAATGTACATCTGTGAACTTGCTTCTCTCTTTGTGAATCTACATCTCTGAATGTAAATCTCTGTGAACTTGCTTCTCTCTTTGTGAATCTACATCTTTGTCAATCTATGAAGCTACCTGTGTCAGCGGATCTTCACTGTTTGTTAATGAATCTATATTAATACTGAAATCTTCATCTCTGTAAATCATTTCCATGTGTGATGACAATAACCAGTTGGCATCTAGGGCTAAGAAATTATGAACACAGTTTAATAATTCTGGCATACAAGGTTGAATTTAGCTACCGGCAGTTTGACAGAAGGCAATTGTATGTTGATGGCAACAAAGGTTTTAGCCTCAATTGTTAGAAAAAAATTGTAAACTGCTGAACATTATATATCCTAGAAAAACTGCAAATAGCCATCCAATGATTTGGTTGTTTCAGAAGATATGCCACCAACTTGAGAGCAACACTATATATATATAGCCCATGGCCGGTGTTTGAAACGGGACGGTACCCGGGGTTCACCCAGCCTGTAGGTAATGGGTACCAGAGTTAACGCTCTGGGATAAATGAAGGAACTTTGCTGTAGCTATGGAGTTGCTTATGGATGGCGACACAGGCGGACAGTTTCTTATCAGCTGTCCGTAGTGGTGCCAGAGTATTTATGGTTTATAACCGTGTGCAGTGACACTGGTTCACATCTCCCAACTTTAACTTTTTACTTTTACTGTATATATAAAATGATGATAATTCAAGGAACTGTGTGTTAATGGAACTATCTTCTCAACCTAGCTGCATGTGGATGCCAACATATTGCAGCAGCTTCAGCAGACTGGGTTCATCACCATCACTCCAGGTGGCCTTCAACCCACATTGACTGCAGACCTGTCCCAGATTGGGGCGGATCTCCCACAAGGAACAGTAGTGGTGTCATCATCCTTGGCCAACACGGACACACTGCTGGCTCATTCCATGGCAGGAGGAGAAACTCTGGTGGGTCAGCAGACTGTACAGGAGACACAAGGTTGGGCTGTTTCCTCTTAGTTGTTGTGGGTTCTGTTTTTGTGTTTATGGAGACTGCACCGATGATGGAAGGTTGGGCTGTTTTTTCTTAGTTGTCTTGGAATATGGCGGGAAGTGTGGGATGGGGGGGGGGGGGGGGGGGGGGGGCACTTGGATGTTACTGCTAGTGTTGCCTGGTGTCAAGCTGTTTGTCGTATGGCAGTTTCGTCACGCACCTTTACTTCCGGATTACTTTCACATAATCCTCAGGTGCTCTGAGGTAGGGGTGTTCTGAATGGCGGCTCTCGCTTGTCTAGAGGCCGAGTCCTCAGTTCAAACATCCATTCAGCCTTTCTCAGGAATGAGGTGACTTGAGCTCTGACTCATCAGGGTTAATACAAACTCTTGGGTATTACTCGGCCAGACGTCATTACTAATTTTGCCCCCAGACTGGTAAACAACGTTAACTCAGTCAAATATATAAACAACAGTGAGTCTGACAAGACATGAATTCATTTCTGACAGAGACAAATGGTTCTAACGTGACAACTTTTCAAGAAAAGAAACCTTGTGAACAAAAAACATTCTGTAATAATTTCACTGATATAAAGAAAGATGAAATGTGGAACACAGAGAACCAGAATGATGGTTCAAGTCTTCGAAGAATTGAGACTAGAGAATGGGTCTCCTTATGTTGCCGCAGCCATTTCCTGACTCATCATTGTTTGGAGAGTAGAGACAGATTACGAGAGCACATTTGGATTATGGCTGCCAAAGTGTTCCTTAGCTCTAAAGACTTATCTGCTCCAGATCCCACAGCCCCTCAGTGTGCCAGATAGAGGGTCTCTGTAACGTCTCGTTTCTCGGAGTGTCTCTGGAGGACGATGATTCTCCCCAGGGACCGATCGAAAGACAACCAATCCTTCCTGGAGACGTGTTGACATTGGCTTCACAAATAGCCTGGCATAGCAGACAATGACAGGTCAATACGAGTAGGTTTCTCCTCAGTTGCCAGTTAGCTGGAGAACTGGACTACCACACGGGCGCATGCAAACAGCAAGGCTACACACATAAGCAAACCTCACCTAATGTACTCCGCTAATCACATTCCTCCCCTGTCTTAAATACTCCGAGGTAAATGTGGACTAGTCTACACCATTAAGGTTGACTTTATACATCTCAGGAGCCCTTACAGTTTCTCAGAGTAAGCACCAAAGCTAGACCGACGTTTCTATTAACTCCAACAGTTTCTGAATCCTGTTTCGTAGCAAAAGCCAGTCATATCTCTATCAGTCCCCATCCCTCCATCTATAACCTGTTGAAATAAGGTAGACGAGATGGATACAACAACAATATAGAAGAATAGACTCCAAAAGCATTTCCAAAGGCTGAGCTTGTTGTGGTTACACTAGCTCCTAGCAACAGCGGATGTGACGTCATGCTTTCCTAGGATAGCACTGCCCGTTCTCAACGGTTAACCAACTCATCAAGTTCAGAGACCAATTAAAATATCATAACAGATCATATAAGTTTATCAAGACAATAATGACACTCCAGACAGGTGGATTGATTGATCCGAATAGGTTTAGAACACAGGCTAGAAGAATTCATGAAGAAATTTCAGCTGAAAGTGCATTCCTACTAGCATTGCTATCGTATCTCGTCACAGGCGATCGTAGACAAATAGATTTGCGTTATCATTCTGCTTACCTTTTCTTGCAAACACATACAGGCACTGAGCACAAATATATATATATATACTTTTTAGGAAAGCTCAATCCCGCAAACGAAAAAAGAGAACAAAGATGCTTTATTAAAGGTCAAGTGGCCACATTGCTGAAACACATCTAACCACTCAAACGGACTAAGTAGAAGTGACGTACACAATTCTAGTCCCTAACTACAGCAGTTGGGGCGATGAAGCGCAATGAAGTGGTCAACTATTAAGCTTAAACAGGCTCAGAAAATGTGTCCTATCATACATATTGACACCATACGCCAAGAAGGATCAATCTAGGAGCGATTTATATAGGTTTCTCACAGCTGGACTCCTCAACAACAAACGAACTATATATCTACGGAAGGACTATTCAATATATGGGAGTACACAGCCCAGGAGATATGAATCAAAACGGAGAGAGGCTAATTGAACTCTGTGCAATAGCAAATCTAACAGTAGCAAGCTCCTTATTTCCACACAAAGACATACATAAAATAACCTAGATTTCGCCAGATAACATAACAAAAAACCAGATAGATCATTTTTGCATCAGCGCCAAATTCCGTACATCAGTGCAAGACGTTAGAGCCTACAGGGGAGCTGATATTGGCAGTGATCACAATCTTTGTATTACCAAACTAAAAATTAAACTCAAGTCTCTACTTAAACCACCCAGAAATAAGAAAATAAACTTACAAGCCCTTTTGTCAAAAGATCATCAAAGCGCAGAGATACTCACCACTTATGTAACCAAAACTAGTAATGCGGACACTACAAATAACATAGACAAAAATTGGGACTTTTTCAAGAACACACTGACGAACGCTGCAGTAAACACAGTTGGTTATGTACAAAAGCAGAAAAAGAAGTGGCTAAGCGACAACACTTGGTCTAAAATCCAAGAAAGGAAACAAGCAAAATTAACACTTTTATCCAAAAAAGACACATCTTCATACGAAAAATACAGCACGCTAGACAAAGAAGTGAAATCAAATGCAAGGAAAGACAAACAGAACTTCATACACGACCTCGCCTCCGATGCTGAAACAGCTGCCAAGATTGGAAACAACAAAGCCGTATTCCATATTATGAAACAACTGTGCAATCACTCACCTACACTAAATACACTCATTAAAGACAAGCAGGGTAAACTACTGCAATCCGACTACCAACAAACAAAGCGATGGGCAGAACATTTCAAGGAAATATTAAATAGACCAAATCCTGACATCATTCCCAATCTAGAAGAAGAAATTATTACACCGACACTAGTTGCCTCCAGCGAGTCATTCACAATAGAGGAGATTTAAACAGCTATTAAAAAATTAAGAATAAACAAAGCTACCGGAGAGGACAACATCTCAGGGGAAATGCTCAAAGCAGCGGATGAAAACACCCTGCAACATTTGCTCCAGCTGATGGATGAAGTCTGGCAAAACGAATACCCACCACAACAATGGAAAGATGGTGTAATCTTCAAATTACCTAAAAAAGGTGATTTATCCGATTGTAACAACTGGAGAGGCATCACCCTGCTTTCGATACCAGGGAAACTATTTTGTAGTATGCTACTAGAAAGATTGAAAAAATCCATAGATGAAAGATTAAGGGAAGAACAAGCCGGTTTTAGATCCAATCGGTCATGCATAGACCACATCTTTACTCTTAGAATAATTTTTGAAGATTCTACAGAATTCTAGTCAAAATTATTGGTCAACTTTGTCGACTTCCAGAAAGCCTTCGACAGTATCCATCGTCCAACACTCTGGAAATTGCTTAACATCTATGGTTTCCCCATCAAATATATCAACATCATAAAATCTTTTTATAATGAAACACGATGCTGTGTAAGAACTGATTCTGGCAATTCTGACTGGTTCCCGGTGGAAACAGGAGTGAAACAAGGCTGTGTCCTATCGCCGATGCTTTTTGGTATAGCAATCGACTGGGTCATGCGCAAGTGCATAAATAACGCAAATTTAGGCATTACATGGGTTGACAAAATTCTGGAAGACCTAGACTTCGCCGACAACATAGCACTCCTGAGTTCAGAACACACAGACGCCCAAGAAAAAATAAATCGACTCCAGAATTTCTCAGAACAAATTGGACTCCAAATTAACACCGCAAAAACAAAAATTCTAGACCTTACCAACAGTTCAGTTGATATCACGCTGAACAACAACAGCCTTGAAAAAGTCAACAGTTTCACTTATCTAGGGAGCAAGATGTCATCTACAGGAGATACCGCACCAGAAATATCATTTAGAATAGCACTGGCATCTAGCGCCTTCAATAAACTGTCCAACATCTGGAAATCAAAGACACTTAGCAAACACACAAAACTCAAGATCTTCAATTCTTGTGTGATTCCAGTACTAACCTATGGATGCGAGAGCTGGAAATCAACGAAAACTCTAGATACAAAATTAGACAGTTTTGAAAATAAATGCCTTAGAAGAATACTAAATTTCAAATGGTCAGATTTCCGAACCAATACACAAATAAGGCAAGAATCCAGGCAAGAGTATGTGTCTAATTTTATACGAAAACGCCGCTGGAACTATGTCGGCTACGCCCTTAGAATGGATAAATCAAGACTTCCTTACCAAGCCCTCATTTGGACACCACAGGGGAAAAGATCTTGTGGAAGACCAAGGGAAACCCTACGTAGAACTATCATCAGGGAAGGCTCGCTCATGGGCCACTCAAACATCCAAGACCTACAACAGATTGCAATGAACCGCCATGCATGGAGAGTCATGACCTCTGCCCTATGTGCCGCACTCAACACAAGAGGAAAGACTAACTAACTATCCAAGATCATTGATACACCAATTAATATGGCGGTGTCCAGACTGTGGGCCAGTCTATTGTGGAAGGGGAGTTACTGCTGTCATGCAACACTTTTCAATCTGAAGACTGGTATTTTTGTGATATGTCACTCATTTTTTTCAGTTTCTGAGAATGTCATAGTCTGGAGAGAATGTCATAGTCAGGAGAGAATGTCATAGTCTGGAGAGAATGTCATAGTCTGGAAAGAATGTCATAGTCTGGAAAGAATGTCATAGTCTGGAGATGATATCATAGTTCGGAGATAACGTCATAGTCTGGAGAGAATGTCATAGTCTGGAGAGAACATCATAGTCTGGAGAGAATGTCATAGTCCAGAGAGAACCTCATATTCCAGAGAGAACCTCATAGTCTGGAGAGAACCTCAGTCTGGGGAGAATGTCATAGTCTGGAGAGAATGTCATAGTCTGGAGAGAAGATATATAATCTGCTGGGGATGCTGGACATCTGGCTGGCTACTGATGGTAGGGGTGGAGAACTGATGGACACCCACAGAGGGAGAATATGGATTGCCTGTGTGATGAGACAGATATGAGAACCATTAAAAGGGCTGTGGAGTAGATGCACTCAGTTGATATGCTCCTAGTGAAATGTATGTGAGAAGACACATTTTTATACAAACCATTTAGCACTTTGTGGGTGATGTGGTCAACATCACATCGGCTGCCTTTACCTCCCATGTCTTTACCTGGCACCCACTTTAGGCTGGGTCGACTTGGGAGTCATGGTTTGAAAAATAAATGTTCAACTTGATTCATTTTTGAAGCCAAAAACCTTCAGGCAAGCGCCTTGCTGCTGTGGCACTGAAATACATTAATTTAACCATAAATGATGTAACTCTGCTTGCAGTGGCCTCTACGGTGGACGTCGCGATGGGGCAGCAGATGCCAGTCTCCGATTCCTTCATGTCCCAGCTCCACAGCTCCGAAGCTGCGCTGGTCCAGTCCATGGGAGTGAGGACAACCGATGTACACAGTGTCGACATGAAACCATTCCCTATTTATACATCCAGTGTCAACATGAAGGATCTCAGACCATTATCTATTTACACATCCACACAGGTGAGTTGCCAGCAGACGGTGATTTTACAGGTTACTGTACCCTCGTGGTGCAGTAGTTAGTGTACTTAGCAGCTGAGACAAGGGTCCAAGTTGAATCTCCACTGGGGCTGAATAGTTTTTCTGACCATTTTTTAAGTTCAGGTTGACCATAAAAGTGGGTGTCAGATAATTCTTTCTGCCAGCTTAGTTATGAGGTCCAGCATAACAACGGTTGTCAGTAGTTTTTCCCAATCAGTAAGTTTGGCATCTGTGGCTTAGGCATTGCAAACGTGCTTTGTAATGCCAGGTTGGATCCCAGCTCTGGGCAGTTTGGCAGTAGTTTGTCTTGCGTTGGTTTCGACAGTGGTATCAAGAGTTTATTGTTCAGAAAGCAGTGGCAAACAAGTGAATGTAAATTTGCCTAGAAAAAGTACAGCAGCTAAAAAAAAAACAAATGCTGGGGTTGGGTCTGCAACGCCATGTAAAGGATACACAACTAACTGTTATCAGGTCTGAGGTCCACTAATTGAAATGGTTATCAGATACTTTTTTCAGACAGTATGATTTTAAGGTCCACCATAACAATAGTTATCATTATTATTATTATAATTGTAGGTTGATTTATACGGACACAGTGGAAGAATCTTGGGTGATTTGACATCATATTTTACTTCCCATTATGGAGATAGCCGCTGTGATGTCTGGTTTTCTCAGGTCAGGACAATACGTCGAGTAGAACAGACATGACACTGTTTTAACGTAATTCTGCAAGCTGTATGATATTTGTTGTATTGAGATAAATGTAGCAGTGTATTGTTTTATGTGGTGAGATATTTGTTGTCATATGTTTGTTGTGTTGAGATATTGTCGTTTGTTGTGCTGAGAAGGGTGTTGTTTGTTGTGTTGAGAAGGGTGGTGCCATGGGTTTTTGTTGTTGTTGTTGTTGTGCTGAAATATCTATTACCATTTGCTGTTTGTTTTGTTGAGATGGATGTTGCCATGTGTTGTTTGTTTTGTTGAGATGGATGTTGCCATGTGTTGTTTGTTGTGGTGAGATGGATGTTGCCATGTGTTGTTTGTTGTGTTGAAGTAATGTTGTTTGTTGCATTAAGAAGGATGTTGCCAGATTGCATATATTTATTTATAAACTTACAGATGGTTGGAGCCCACCGATTGACAGATGCCTTGCTCAGCCAACAGCCAACGAGAATCCATAGTTCAGGTGTCACAAGCTCTTTGATTGGTCAGCCCAGCCTCTCATCTCAGGACAGCTACCAGTCACAGGTGGTGACTCAAGCACTCGATTCCATGATTGTTCATGACAGAATAATGACAAGTGTCTCAGATGCTCTGATTGGACGGCAGATATCCTATGGGGACACAGTTGTAGGATCAGCAGGAGAACATGCACTGATTCAAGGCATGCACCTACAGGTATAACTGTCTTAGAGACACTTCTCAACTGATCTTCTCACCACCTCTTGAGTCTTAGAGACACTTCTCAACTGATCTTCTTACCCCCTCTTGAGTCTGAGAGACACTTCTCAACTGATCTTCTCACCACCTCTTGAGTCTGAGAGACACTTCTCAACTGATGGTCTTCTCACCACCTCTTGAGTCTGAGAGACACTTCTCAACTGATCTTCTCACCCCCTCTTGAGTCTGAGAGACACTTCTCAACTGATCTTCTCACCACCTCTTGAGTCTGAGAGACACTTCTCAACTGATGATCTTCTCACCACCTCTTGAGTCTGAGAGACACTTCTCAACTGATGATCTTCTCACCACCTCTTGAGTCTGAGAGACACTTCTCAACTGATGATCTTCTCACCACCTCTTGAGTCTGAGAGACACTTCTCAACTGATGATCTTCTCACCACCTCTTGAGTCTGAGAGACACTTCTCAACTGATCTTCTCACCCCCTCTTGATTCTGAGAGACACTTCTCAACTGATGATCTTCTCACCCCCTCTTGAGTCTGAGAGACACTTCTCTACTGATCTTCTCACCACCTCTTGAGTCTTAGAGACACTTCTCAACTGGTCTTCTCACCACCTCTTGAGTCTGAGAGACACTTCTCAACTGATCTTCTCACCCCCTCTTGAGTCTGAGAGACACTTCTCAACTGACTTTCTCACCACCTCTGAGAGACTTTTCTTTAGGGTCATGGTAGCACAATGGCTATACTCTTGCCTGTTTGAGGTGAAAGTGTTATATTGACACACATACACACAGTAATGGTGTAGCTAGATGCTCACATTTCGGCCGCAAGGTTCCAATCCATACAGTGCTTGCAAGTGTTGCCAGTCTCAAATGGTACCAGGAAATGTCCTAGGAAGTAAAGATGCCCCGGTGTGACCTCGACCACATGACTTATAGAGTGTACCTGTGTTTACACAAATGTAATCTAAGGCCAGGTTTGTCACTGGCCTGGACAGCTTTTTTGACTAATTAGTTTGCTGTCCATGTTTGTGATAACTAAAGGAAAATGTTGTTTAATTAGTTACTTTGATATCTGTGTTGTAGTAGCTAGAACAAAATGATCCTTTCATTTTGTGACAGTTTTGTTCATCCATGTTTGTAGTAGCTAGAACAAAATGTCCTGTAATTATTTACAATGCATGTTTATAGCATCTAGAACAAAATACCCATGTTTGTAGTACTTTGAACAAAATGTCCCCAATTTGTTACCTATGTTTGTAGTACTTTGAACAAAATGTCCCCAATTTTTTACCTATGTTTGTAGTACTTTGAACAAAATGTCCCCAATTTGTTACCTATGTTTGTAGTATTTCGATGTCCTCACTTTGTTACCCATGTTTGTAGTACTTTGAACAAAATGTCCTCACTTTGTTACCCATGTTTGTAGTACTTTGAACAAAATGTCCTCACTTTGTTACCCATGTTTGTAGTACTTTGAACAAAATGTCCTCACTTTGTTACCCATGTTTGTAGTACTTTGAACAAAATGTCCTCACTTTGTTACCCATGTTTGTAGTACTTTGAACAAAATGTCCTCACTTTGTTACCCATGTTTGTAGTACTTTGAACAAAATGTCTTGTAGTACTTTGAACAAAATGTCCTCACTTTGTTACCCATGTTTGTAGTACTTTGAACAAAATGTCCTCACTTTGTTACCCATGTTTGTAGTACTTTGAACAAACTTTTAGCCTGCAGCGTGTGTATAGGTAAGACAGTTGTCAGTGTAGCCTGCTGCTTGTGTATAGGTAAGACAGTTGTCAGTGTAGCCTGCTGTGTGTGTATAGGTAAGCCAGCTGTCAGTGTAGCCTGCTACTTGTGTATAGGTAAGACAGCTGTCATTGTAGCCTGCAGCGTGTGTATAGGTAAGACAGCTGTCAGTGTAGCCTGCTGCTTGTGTATAGGTAAGACAGTTGTCATTGTAGCCTGCAGCGTGTGTATAGGTAAGACAGTTGTCAGTGTAGCCTGCTGCTGCGTGTGTATGTAGACAGCTGTCAGTGTAGCCTGCTGCTTGTGTATAGGTAAGACAGTTGTCAGTGTAGCCTGCTGCGTGTGTATAGGTAAGACAGTTGTCAGTGTAGCCTGCGTGTGTAGTAGTAAGACAGCTGTCAGTGTAGCCTGCTGCTTGTGTATAGGTAAGACAGCTGTCAGTGTAGCCTGCTGCTTGTGTATAGGTAAGACAGTTGTCAGTGTAGCCTGCTGCTTGTGTATAGGTAAGACAGTTGTCAGTGTAGCCTGCTGCTTGTGTATAGGTAAGACAGCTGTCAGTGTAGCCTGCTGCTTGTGTATAGGTAAGACAGATCAATGTAGCCTGCTGCGTGTGTATAGGTAAGACAGTTGTCAGTGTAGCCTGCTGCGTGTGTATAGGTAAGACAGTTGTCATTGTAGCCTGCTGCGTGTGTTTAGATAAGACAGTTGTCAGTGTAGCCTGCTGTGTGTGTATAGGTAAGACAGTTGTCAGTGTAGCCTGCTGCGTGTGTATAGATAAGACAGTTGTCAGTGTAGCCTGCTGCGTGTGTATAGGTAAGACAGTTGTCAGTGTAGCCTGCTGCTTGTGTATAGGTAAGACAGTTGTCAGTGTAGCCTGCTGCTTGTGTATAGGTAAGACAGCTGTCAGTGTAGCCTGCTGCTTGTGTATAGGTAAGACAGCTGTCAGTGTAGCCTGCTGCTTGTGTATAGGTAAGACAGTTGTCAGTGTAGCCTGCTGCGTGTGTATAGGTAAGACAGTTGTCAGTGTTGTCAGTGTAGCCTGTCTAGCGTGTGTATAGGTAAGACAGTTGTCAGTGTAGCCTGCTGCTTGTGTATAGGTAAGACAGTTGTCAGTGTAGCCTGCTGCTTGTGTATAGGTAAGACAGTTGTCAGTGTAGCCTGCTGCTTGTGTATAGGTAAGACAGTTGTCAGTGTAGCCTGCTGCTTGTGTATAGGTAAGACAGTTGTCAGTGTAGCCTGCTGCTGTGTATAGGTAAGACAGCTGTCAGTGTAGCCTGCTGCGTGTGTATAGGTAAGACAGTTGCTGCTGCTTGTGTATAGGTAAGACAGTTGTCAGTGTAGCCTGCTGCTTGTGTATAGGTAAGACAGTTTGTCAGTGTAGCCTGCTGCTTGTGTATAGGTAAGACAGTTGTCAGTGTAGCCTGCTGCTGTGTGTATAGGTAAGACAGTTGTCAGTGTAGCCTGCTGCTTGTGTATAGGTAAGACAGTTGTCAGTGTAGCCTGCTGCTTGTGTATAGGTAAGACAGTTGTCAGTGTAGCCTGCTGCTTGTGTATAGGTAAGACAGCTGTCAGTGTAGCCTGCTGCTTGTGTATAGGTAAGACAGCTGTCAGTGTAGCCTGCTGCTTGTGTATAGGTAAGACAGTTGTCAGTGTAGCCTGCTGCTTGTGTATAGGTAAGACTGTCAGTGTAGCCTGCTGCTTGTGTATAGGTAAGACAGTTGTCAGTGTAGCCTGCTGCTTGTGTATAGATAAGACAGTTGTCGGTGTAGGCTACTGCTTGTGTATAGGTAAGACAGCTGTCAGTGTAGCCTGCTGCGTGTGTATAGGTAAGACAGCTGTCAGTGTAGCCTGCTGCTTGTGTATAGGTAAGACAGTTGTCAGTGTAGCCTGCTGCTTGTGTATAGGTAAGACAGCTGTCAGTGTAGCCTGCTGCTTGTGTATAGGTAAGACAGTTGTCAGTGTAGCCTGCTGCTTGTGTATAGGTAAGACAGCTGTCAGTGTAGCCTGCTGCTTGTGTATAGGTAAGACAGCTGTCAGTGTAGCCTGCTGCTTGTGTATAGGTAAGACAGCTGTCAGTGTAGCCTGCTGCTTGTGTATAGGTAAGACAGTTGTCAGTGTAGCCTGCTGCTTGTGTATAGGTAAGACAGCTGTCAGTGTAGCCTGCTGCTTGTGTATAGGTAAGACAGTTGTCAGTGTAGCCTGCTGCTTGTGTATAGATAAGACAGTTGTCGGTGTAGGCTGCTGCTTGTGTATAGTAAGACAGCTGTCAGTGTAGCCTGCTGCTTGTGTATAGGTAAGACAGTTGTCAGTGTAGCCTGCTGCTTGTGTATAGGTAAGACAGCTGTCAGTGTAGCTGCTGCTGCTTGTGTATAGGTAAGACAGTTGTCAGTGTAGCCTGCTGCTTGTGTATAGGTAAGACAGCTGTCAGTGTAGCCTGCTGCTTGTGTATAGGTAAGACAGTTGTCAGTGTAGCCTGCTGCTTGTGTATAGGTAAGACAGTTGTCAGTGTAGCCTGCTGCTTGTGTATAGGTAAGACAGTTGTCAGTGTAGCCTGCTGCTTGTGTATAGGTAAGACAGCTGTCAGTGTAGCCTGCTGCTTGTGTATAGGTAAGACAGCTGTCAGTGTAGCCTGTGTGTATAGTAAGACAGTTGTCTGTAGCCTGCTGCGTGTGTATAGGTATCAGTGTAAGCTTGTGTATAGGTCAGTTGTAGTGCCTGCTGCTTGTGTATAGGTAAGACAGCTGTCAGTGTAGCCTGCTGCTTGTGTATAGGTAAGACAGCTGTCAGTGTAGCCTGCTGCTTGTGTATAGGTAAGACAGTTGTCAGTGTAGCCTGCTGCTTGTGTATAGGTAAGACAGTTGTCAGTGTAGCCTGCTGCTTGTGTATAGGTAAGACAGCTGTCAGTGTAGCCTGCTGCTTGTGTATAGGTAAGACAGTTGTCAGTGTAGCCTGCTGCTTGTGTATAGGTAAGACAGTTGTCAGTGTAGCCTGCTGCTTGTGTATAGGTTAGACAGTTGTCAGTGTAGCCTGCTGCTTGTGTATAGGTAAGACAGCTGTCAGTGTAGCCTGCTGCTTGTGTATAGGTAAGACAGCTGTCAGTGTAGCCTGCTGCTTGTGTATAGGTAAGACAGTTGTCAGTGTAGCCTGCTGCTTGTGTATAGGTAAGACAGTTGTCAGTGTAGCCTGCTGCTTGTGTATAGGTAAGACAGCTGTCAGTGTAGCCTGCTGCTTGTGTATAGGTAAGACAGCTGTCAGTGTAGCCTGCTGCGTGTGTATAGGTAAGACAGTTGTCAGTGTAGCCTGCTGCTTGTGTATAGGTAAGACAGTTGTCAGTGTAGCCTGCTGCTTGTGTATAGGTAAGACAGCTGTCAGTGTAGCCTGCTGCTTGTGTATAGGTAAGACAGCTGTCAGTGTAGCCTGCTGCTTGTGTATAGGTAAGACAGTTGTCAGTGTAGCCTGCTGCTTGTGTATAGATAAGTTTGTGTATAGGTAAAACAGCTGTCTGTGTAGCCTGCTGCGTGTATATAGGTAAGACAGTTGTCAGTGTAGCCTGCTGCTTGTGTATAGGTAAGACAGTTGTCAGTGTAGCCTGCTGCTTGTGTGTAGACCTGTCAGTGTAGCTGCTGTGTGTATAGGTAAGACAGTTGTCAGTGTAGCCTGCTGCTTGTGTATAGGTAAGACAGTTGTCAGTGTAGCCTGCTGCTTGTGTATAGGTAAGACAGCTGTCAGTGTAGCCTGCTGCTTGTGTATAGGTAAGACAGCAAATGTGTCAGTGTAGCCTGCAGTGTGTGCGTGTATAGGTAAGACAGTTGTCAGTGTAGCCTGCTATAGGTAAGACAGCTGTCAGTGTAGCCTGCTGCGTGTGTATAGGTAAGACAGCTGTCAGTGTAGCCTGCTGCTTGTGTATAGGTAAGACAGTTGTCAGTGTAGCCTGCTGCTTGTGTATAGGTAAGACAGTTGTCAGTGTAGCCTGCTGCGTGTGTATAGGTAAGACAGTTGTCAGTGTAGCCTGCTGCGTGTGTATAGGTAAGACAGTTGTCAGTGTAGCCTGCTGCTTGTGTATAGGTAAGACAGTTGTCAGTGTAGCCTGCTGCTTGTGTATAGGTAAGACAGTTGTCAGTGTAGCCTGCTGCTGCTTGTGTATAGGTAAGACAGCTGTCATTGTAGCCTGCTACTTGTGTATAAGTAAGACAGTTGTCAGTGTAGCCTGCTGCGTGTGTATAGGTAAGACAGTTGTCAGTGTAGCCTGCTGCTTGTGTATAGGTAAGACAGCTGTCAGTGTAGCCTGCTGCTTGTGTATAGGTAAGACAGTTGTCAGTGTAGCCTGCTGCTTGTGTATAGGTAAGACAGTTGTCAGTGTAGCCTGCTGCTTGTGTATAGGTAAGACAGCTGTCAGTGTGCCTGCTGCTGTGTGTAAGACAGCTGTCAGTGTAGCCTGCTTGTCTAGGTAAGACAGCTTGTGTATAGGTAAGACAGTTGTCAGTGTAGCCTGCTGCGTGTGTATAGGTAAGACAGTTGTCAGTGTAGCCTGCTGCTTGTGTATAGGTAAGACAGTTGTCAGTGTAGCCTGCTGTGTGTGTATAGGTAAGACAGTTGTCAGTGTAGCCTGCTGCGTGTGTATAGGTAAGACAGCTGTCAGTGTAGCCTGCTGCTTGTGTATAAGTAAGACAGTTGTCAGTGTAGCCTGCTGCGTGTGTATAGGTAAGACAGTTGTCGGTGTAGGCTACTGCTTGTGTATAGGTAAGACAGCTGTCGGTGTAGACTGCTGCGTGTGTATAGGTAAGACTGTTGTCAGTGTAGCCTGCTGCTTGTGTATAGGTAAGACAGTTGTCAGTGTAGCCTGCTGCTTGTGTATAGATAAGTTTGTGTATAGGTAAGACAGCTGTCTGTGTAGCCTGCTGCGTGTGTATAGGTAAGACAGCTGTCAATGTAGCCTTCTGCTTGTGTATAGATAAGACAGTTGTCAGTGTAGCCTGCTGCTTGTGTATAGGTTAGACAGTTGTCAGTGTAGCCTGCTGCTTGTGTATAGGTAAGACAGCTGTCAGTGTAGCTTGCTGCTTGTGTAAAGGTAAGACAGTTGTCAGTGTAGCCTGCTGCGTGTGTATAGGTAAGACAGTTTTCAGTGTAGCCTGCTGCTTGTGTATAGTTAAGACAGCTGTCAGTGTAGCCTGCTGCGTGTGTATAGGTAAGACAGTTGTCAGTGTAGCTGCTGCTGTCAGTGTAGCCTGCTGTTGCGTGTGCGTGTAATAGGTAACACAGTTGTCAGTGTAGCCTGCTGCTTGTGTATAGGTAAGACAGTTGTCAGTGTAGCCTGCTGCTTGTGTATAGGTAAGACAGCTGTCAGTGTAGCCTGCTGCTTGTGTATAGGTAAGACAGCTGTCAGTGTAGCCTGCTGCTTGTGTAAAGGTAAGACAGTTGTCATTGTAGCCTGCTGTGTGTGTATAGGTAAGACAGTTGTCATTGTAGCCTGCTACTTGTGTATAGGTAAGACAGCTGTCATTGTAGCCTGCTGCTTGTGTATAGGTAAGACAGTTTTCAGTGTAGCCTGCTGCTTGTGTATAGGTAAGACAGCTGTCAGTGTAGCCTGCTGCGTGTGTATAGGTAAGACAGTTGTCAGTGTAGCCTGCTGCTTGTGTATAGGTAAGACAGTTGTCAGTGTAGCCTGCTGCTTGTGTATAGGTAAGACAGTTGTCAGTGTAGCCTGCTGCTTGTGTATAGGTAAGACAGCTGTCAGTGTAGCCTGCTGCTTGTGTATAGGTAAGACAGCCTGTAGCTGCTGCTTGTGTATAGGTAAGACAGCTGTCAGTGTAGCCTGCTGCTTGTGTATAGGTAAGACAGCTGTCAGTGTAGCCTGCTGCTTGTGTATAGGTAAGACAGTTGTCATTGTAGCCTGCTGTGTGTGTATAGGTAAGACAGTTGTCATTGTAGCCTGCTACTTGTGTATAGGTAAGACAGCTGTCATTGTAGCCTGCTGCTTGTGTATAGGTAAGACAGTTGCCAGTGTAGCCTGCTGCTTGTGTATAGGTAAGACAGTTGTCAGTGTAGCCTGCTGCTTGTGTATAGGTAAGACAGCTGTCAGTGTAGCCTGCTGCGTGTGTATAGGTAAGACAGCTGTCAGTGTAGCCTGCTGCTTGTGTATAGGTAAGACAGCTGTCAGTGTAGCCTGCTACTTGTGTATAGGTAAGACAGTTGTCATTGTAGCCTGCTGCTTGTGTATAGGTAAGACAGTTGTCATTGTAGCCTGCTGTGTGTGTATAGGTAAGACAGTTGTCATTGTAGCCTGCTACTTGTGTATAGGTAAGACAGCTGTCATTGTAGCCTGCTGCTTGTGTATAGGTAAAACAGTTGCCAGTGTAGCCTGCTGCTTGTGTATAGGTAAGACAGTTGTCAGTGTAGCCTGCTGCTTGTGTATAGGTAAGACAGTTGTCAGTGTAGCCTGCTGCTTGTGTATAGATAGGTAAGACAGTTGTCAGTGTAGCCTGCTGCTTGTGTATAGGTAAGACAGCTGTCAGTGTAGCTTTCTCCTTGTGTATAGGTAAGACAGTTGTCAGTGTAGCCTGCTGCTTGTGTATAGGTAAGACAGTTGTCAGTGTAGCCTGCTGCTTGTGTATAGGTAAGACAGTTGTCAGTGTAGCCTGCTGCGTGTGTATAGGTAAGACAGTTGTCAGTGTAGCCTGCTGCTTGTGTATAGGTAAGACAGCTGTCAGTGTAGCCTGCTGCGTGTGTATAGGTAAGACAGTTGTCAGGGATTTGATTCCATGAATTTGTGACACAAATTATGACTTCATGCAGACTAGGGTCACAAAGTTTGTACTCTGATTTCTGTCCACTTTGATTTCTGTCCACTCTGCTTTCTGTCCACTCTGCTTTCAGTATAAAGTCTTTGATTTGTCAGCCCAAATGGTCCATGAACTATGAACCAATTCCGTTGATTACCTGAGTGTGCACCTGTGACGTCTGTACTGCAACCGACCATTTAGCATCAAATCTCTCATTGTAGCTGACAGTTATGAGCATGTGCACACTCCTGTGTGTGCAGTTACCTTCATATACATCCCAGGGCATGCAGGCGTTGTTAGTAATGAAAGAGCTGATAGACTGGCAGGTGCTGCATTAATTGAAGATAGGACGTTCTGAGGATTTTGGAAGCAACGTGTCCACATCACTGCTAAGAATACGCGAATTGGGAGTAAAGATCGGCACAGCCAAACATGAGAAGCACACTAGACGCTCAGGAAGTCTTGTTAACCAACATAGGACTGGCACTATTAACTGCGCGACGCTGATAAATATGTTGAGAGGGGAATCTGAGCATCTATGGATGTGTCCGGAGTGCTGTGAAGATAATCCAACTCTGAACTCAAGTTATGAGTGGTCTTTTCTGGGGGCTAGGGCTTATAGTGAAGGCATCCTGAAATATCATGGCAGGGGTAGATTTTTTGTCTGTGACCTTGTTGTCTGTCTACTGTTTTCCTGTGATCCTTTTTTCTGTTGTGTTTTCGTTATTTTTTTTTCTGCTTTCATGTGACTGTTTTCTGCCTAAACTGTGCATTTTTTTCATTCTGCTTTGAGTCACAGCATAGGTTTCAGTGATGGATAGGTAAATGATCAGATTTAATAAAAATCTGATCTTACAAGTGAAATGTAGACATTGTCAGTGCTAATTCATTATGTCTGGTTTGTGTCTGATGGTACTTGTCTTCTGCGACTGGTCCACAGGCTGGTTCCATCTCTGAGGACATGCATCCTAAGATTATTGTCGAGTCCGTTTGCAGCTTACAGAGCCACCACATGGGCAGATCACCTGGTAGTGACCAGGGCAGTGCTACCTTGATCACTCAGGATGGCCAGGTAAGTTCACTGACAGTCGTGTATCTCCCTGCAGGCTCAGGTAACAGTCTCTCACCTCTGTAACTGTCCGGTGTGATTGTTTTATTTAAGCTGTTTTCTGCCTCGTTACAGGCTTCAGCCACGCTGATGTGATGGTTTCTCCAACCAAACTGATGTGATGGGTTTCTCCAACCACACTGATGTGATGGGTTTCTCCAACCACACTGATGTGATGGGTTTCTCCAACCACACTGATGTGATGGTTTCTCCAACCAAACTGATGTGATGGGTTTCTCCAACCACACTGATGTGATGGGTTTCTCCAACCACACTGATGTGATGGTTTCTCCAACCAAACTGATGTGATGGGTTTCTCCAACCACACTGATGTGATGGTTTCTCCAACCACACTGATGTGATGGTTTCTTCAGCCACGCTGTTTTGTGTTTGTATGGTGGATGTCATCTTGTGTTTGCACAGTGACTGTTATATTGTTTTTATGGTGACTGTCATCTTGTGTTTGTACAGGGACTGTTATATTGTTTGTATGGTGAATGTCATCTTGTGTTTGTACAGTGACTGTTATATTGTTTGTATGGTGAATGTCATCTTGTGTTTGTACAGGGACTGTTATATTGTTTGTATGGTGAATGTCATCTTGTGTTTGTACAGTGACTGTTATATTGTTTGTATGGTGAATGTCATCTTGTGTTTGTACAGTGAGTGTTATATTGTTTGTATGGTGAATGTCATCTTGTGTTTGTACAGTGAGTGTTATATTGTTTGTATGGTGAATGTCATCTTGTGTTTGTACAGTGAGTGTTATATTGTTTGTATGGTGAATGTCATCTTGTGTTTGTACAGTGAGTTTTATATTGTTTGTATGGTGAATGTCATCTTGTGTTTGTACAGTGAGTGTTATATTGTTTGTATGGTGAATGTCATCTTGTGTTTGTACAGGGACTGTTATATTGTTTGTATGGTGAATGTCATCTTGTGTTTGTACAGTGAGTGTTATATTGTTTGTATGGTGAATGTCATCTTGTGTTTGTACAGTGAGTGTTATATTGTTTGTATGGTGAATGTCATCTTGTGTTTGTACAGTGAGTGTTATATTGTTTGTATGGTGAATGTCATCTTGTGTTTGTACAGTGAGTGTTATATTGTTTGTATGGTGAATGTCATCTTGTGTTTGTACAGTGAGTGTTATATTGTTTGTATGGTTGTTGTCTGCTGAAAGCAAGTGACATTGATGAAATTGTTGCAGCGGCTGTCAGTGAACGTGTTTGCCAGCTCGGGTCAAGATCTGGACCTGGTCAAGATTTCAGAGGTTGATGAGGAGGAGCAGAAGTACAGCATTCCTGGAGAGGATGGCAGCAGGATGGCCAACATTACACACCTGGTGAGTGACCCTCGTGTCTGGGGGGTGGAGGGGTTGCATGCAAGAGCCTATACATTCCACCCCATCTTTCCTGTATGAGAACAAGAAAGGTGACACAATGCACCCTTGTTGGACTCCTGATGTTCCACTGAAGTCCCTGTGGTTGCTTTCTCCTTAACATAATCTATGAGTATGAGAACAAGAAAGGTGACACAATGCACCCTTGTCGGACTCCTGATGTTAGTTACTCTTGAACTATTCTGTTTCCATCAGTCCTACTTTCACTTTGCATTGGTACCCTTTATAGAGATCTTTAAATATGTTTATAACGTGCCTGGCAACCCATAGGCAGCCAGGATTCTCCACATCATTGTCCTGACTAGACTGTCAAAGTCTGTTCAAAGTTTATAAAGTTTATACATAAACAAGTGGCATCCCATTCTCCAGCTTGTAGTCTGCTGACCGACTGGCATCCTATTCTACAGCTTGTAGTCTGCTGACCGACTGGCATCCCATTCTACAGCTTGTAGTCTGCTGACCGACTGGCATCCTATTCTACAGCTTGTAGTCTGCTGACCGACTGGCATCCCATTCTACAGCTTGTAGTCTGCTGACCGACTGGCATCCCATTCTACAGCTTGTAGTCTGCTGACCGACTGGCATCCCATTCTCAAGCTTGTAGTCTGCTGACCGACTGGCATCCCATTCTCAAGCTTGTAGTCTGCTGACCGACTGGCATCCCATTCTCAAGCTTGTAGTCTGCTGACCGACCTCCCTACCCATAGTTTTTTAATTAAGCAGCATCCAGGTGGTTTTATTATTCCAAGATGACTGCGCTGACAATCGATACCGTTTTGAGCCGAAACAAGTATTCTTTTCAGTGAAATTGTTCGTTACCAGCGCATATTCAGCCTTTTTTTATCATGTCTGATGATGAAAACCAGACCAGTAGAATTAATTATTCCGAATCCGCCAAGGAATGTAGCTCTGAAACCAATAATTGCTGAAAAACTAGAGGTGCTTTTGTAATCAAAAATTCACAAATGCTCATTGTAACATGACAAATAAACACAATATATGAAAAAGATGTTTTCACTTTATTCACATATTTATTTGCTGCTCATCAAGAAATATTTGGTCAATCGTGAAATAATTGCTTCTGTTTAGCAAATGTTATTCATGGCCAACATGTTATTGCACTGATGTGAAACAACTAATAATGGAACAAGATGATGGTTGTATAACATCTGCAGACATTTCTAGAAATAGCCAAACAAATTCAAGATGGCCACCATCATCATGTGACATATTTGCATAATATATATCTGTTTTTATGTGTAGCAGCCATCTATAATGTTGCTCTGAAGGTTTGTATTTTTTTAATGATTGTTTTTTAAAAAGCAGTAATTTGTATAGAAATCTGCAAACAGCCTTGGTAATAGGAGACAGTAATGGCTCGGATGGCTGGTCAGTAAAATGTTAACATGTCAGCACTAATTTGGTCTTCCCCTGTTGCCTTCCCATTCTTCAGACTGTGTGTTGGCGTTTCTATTTCTGTAACGCTGACTGGCCCAATATCCAGTTGTGAGAGCTGGCCACAGTTCTCTAGTGTTTCCACTGGGATATCTCATATTCTTGCCATCTGCCAACCTTTCCCCTTGCCATTGTGATTATTTTCCCTGTTGTGTCTGCCAGCTTTCCTTCATTCAAGCTAAAATTGTTTCCCACCACACAGGACCAAAATCCCAGCCTGGGTCACCGTGGAAGTCCACTTGATGATGATGTCGATGAGGACAACAGCGAGGAAGTGGACACCAGTGCCTTGATCCCCACCTCTGATGTCAGCCTGGAGCCACAGCAAGAGGGTGTCAACCGCCAGCATATCTGTGGGGTGCGTGGTCATCTGCTGACTAGATGTGCTTGTTTCACTGATTGACTCAACACAGTATATCTAGTAGTGGTGTTGTTAAAAAAAACATACCCAACAATATTAATATAGTATGGCTAGAGGTAGAGCTGAGCATAAACATATCCAACAGTATTAATATAGAGAACTAGTGGTCTAGCGGAGCATAAACATACCGAACAGCATTAATATAGAGAGTATAGCTAGTGGTAGAGCGGAGCATAAACATACCCAACAGTATTAATATAGAGAACTAGTGGTAGAGCGGAGCATAAACATACCCAATAGTATTAATATTGAGAGTATAACTAGTGGTAGAGCGGAGCATAAACATACCCAATAGTATAAATAATAAGAATGGAATGTTTTATTTTAATTTCCTGAGAACTAAATAGTAATATTGACTGGCACTTTGAGAAGAGAATGCAAGAGATAATAGAACAGATGAAAGCTTCATGAACACATGCTAATGGTTGTGTGTCTTCTTGTGCCTTGTGTGGTTTGTTTGCTGTGACAGCCAATGGAAGTAAAGTGTCATAATTAGGTTGTATTTAGAAGGGATATCGTGAGGCCCCTAGTCAGTAACTGTAGACAGCATGGGTCCACACAGTGAGTCAGTAACTGTAGACAGCATGGGTCCACACAGTGAGTCAGTAACTGTAGACAGCATGGGTCCACACAGTGAGTCAGTAACTGTAGACAGCATGGGTCCACACAGTGAGTCAGTAACTGTAGACAGCAAGGGTCCACACAGTGAGTCAGTAACTGTAGACAGCATGGGTCCACACAGTGAGTCAGTGTAACTGTAGACAGCATGGGTCCACACAGTGAGTCTAACTGTAGACAGCATGGGTCCACACAGTGAGTCTAACTGTAGACAGCATGGGTCCACACAGTGAGTCTAACTGTAGACAGCATGAGTCCACACAGAGAGTCAGTAACTATAGACAGCAAGGGTCCACACAGTGAGTCTAACTGTAGACAGCAAGGGTCCACACAGTGAGTCAGTAACTGTAGACAGCAAGGGTCCACACAGTGAGTCAGTAACTGTAGACAGCAAGGGTCCACACAGTGAGTCAGTAACTGTAGACAGCATGGGTCCACACAGTGAGTCAGTAACTATAGACAGCATGGGTCCACACAGTGAGTCAGTAACTGTAGACAGCAAGGGTCCACACAGTGAGTAACTGTAGACAGCATGGGTCCACACAGTGAGTCAGTAACTGTAGACAGCAAGGGTCCACCCAGTGAGTCAGTAACTGTAGACAGCAAGGGTCCACACAGTGAGTCAGTAACTATAGACAGCATGGGTCCACACAGTGAGTCAGTAACTGTAGACAGCAAGGGTCCACACAGTGAGTAACTGTAGACAGCATGGGTCCACACAGTGAGTCAGTAACTGTAGACAGCAAGGGTCCACCCAGTGAGTCAGTAACTGTAGACAGCAAGGGTCCACACAGTGAGTTAGTAACTGTAGACACTGGCTGAGGAGGTATCCCTGCACTCCAAGTGTGAAGAAAACACCTGTCATTGGTCAGCTGTAGCCACATGTTAGGGAGTAGTGGGGCCTTGGACCCCAGCTAGCCAGGTGAGATTTCCACATACCTGGTCTCAGGTGAGAGACAGTGTGTGTCTCCTATGTGTTATACCATGTTGACTACATAAAAGACAGAAGATGTAAACACCTAGATGTTTGATCAACAGTGCAGTGATTGTAGTCCAAGTGAGCCCGTTTGATATGTGGGTCTTGTTGGTGAGTTTGGGTGCCTGGGCAAATTCTTTAGAAGCAAACATCTCCCTCAGACAAATTGAGGATCCAAATGGAAATACTAAAGTGAGCTTTGATACCTGATTGATTTTCAAAGTCCTAAGAAGGCACAGACAGCATCAAGAGACTGTCAATGGTGTTCTGTTTACAGATCTGCTACAGAGGATTCAAGCGGGCAGCACATTTAAGGGACCACATGAACACACATGGTCCTGGTCCCGTACCCAAGAAAGCCAAGGCTACTCCACACAAGTGCAATGTCTGCACCAAAGCTTTCCAGAAACCTAGTCAAGTGGAGAGACACATGCGCATACACACAGGTGGGTAACCTCTTTTCTTGTCTGTGAACTGTCTGTACCCAACATTATGTAGTTTTTTTCTCTGAAAGCCCAATCCTAAAAGCTTCTGCAAACCTTATGTGAACAGTGATGAGAGGAAGAGAACAATATGTGCTGATCATAATCAGTGTGCTATGGGAAGAGTGAGGCATCTACAGCTGAAGACATTTACTGTGAAAGACAACGGAGTATCCTATGGATGAAGCTGATGTAAATTTGTCAGATTTTCAATATAATGCTGGTCACATTTGCTTGCTGGACTGACCTAGGTGACCAAATCTTTATGATGATGCTGATGTTTTCAGTCTCTAGTGAATGTATAACAATCAGAGGATTATTTTCAGTCTCTAGTGAATGTATAACAATCAGAGGATTATATATATATATATATATATATATATATATATAATAATAATGAGGTATTTGTGTTGCATCTCCTGCAGGCGAGCGCCCATTCGCCTGTCACATGTGCCCCAAGAGCTTCAATCAGAAGAACGCCCTGCAAGTTCACCTGCGCAAACACAGTGGGGAGAAACCACACATCTGTCCCTACTGCAGCTCTTCCTTTGTCCAGAGTGGGAACCTCAAGACTCACATCAAGAGAGCTCATCACACAGACATGGTCAGCACAATGAACCTTGTACGAGCCACCTCAGATACTGCTGGCAGTGTTGGGCAGGAGGTTGGAGGTCATGGGGTTCCAGCAGGGCTGGATGAGGCCCAGTCAGGGATGGGCGGGGAAGTAAGTGTGGGTGCTGTTGGGGGCATGGAGCATGTTGGGATGGATTTAGTGGAAGTGGTTGATTTATTTGTGCAGTAGTTTGAAAGGTCTGACTATGACTGATTGTTGTCAAATATGGTTTAGTCTGTGCAGTAGTTTGACCCTGTAGGGCTGTGACTTTCATCACGCCATGATTAAAGATAGCAGGCTGCGACTGGTGGCTAGCCTTCTGTGTGAATAGTTGAAAGGCAAGTTAAATGGTTCAGTCATGTAACTGGACTGTCCACCAACAGGACTAGTTACATTACAGATAGAAGGCAACTATTTGGTACACACATGGAAGAAAAGAAGCAACTTTGTACTTAGATGAAATAGAAAAGGCGACAATGTTGTTCACTTAGATGAAATAGAAAAGGTGACAATGTTGTTCATAGACGGATGGAGTAGCAAAGGCAACATACTTCAGATAAATGTACAGAAAAGGCAACAATTAAGCAGGGATGGCATAGAAGGAATGGAGGAGGCAACAAACATCTTGTTTACAGATATCTGCATGATTGCCTGTTTTTTCCTGACACTGAAGGCAATACAAGGATGGAGACACAACATGGAATAAATCTGGCGTGTTTCATTAGTGCCTGCAAAGTGAGGGGCAGTTACTAGTAGACCTTCAATGGCTTCAGTCATCCAAGAGAGAAAACAGATAATGTGCCTCCTGTCAGCAGTGACCATGACCTGCTTGATCGGGATGTGTGGCTTGACTTAAAGATAGGAATGAATACTACTATATTTGTGTGTAAAATGGCTGAATTCACTTGATGGGAAGTATCAGCCATCACAAACAGACACTAGAAATGAAGTAGCCCAAATAGACAAACACTAGAAGCATCCATTCAGCCCAATATCCATCAGTCCAAACACTAGATATCCAACAGCTCAAAAAAACAAAACAAAACAGACAACACAAACAAACCCCTCTCTTTCTCTCTCTCTCTCTCTCTCTCTCTGTGTGTGTCACAGCATCCCCACTCTAAATGTCATGTCATGTCAGTCAGTCTCATTAGGCAAATGCTGAATAAATGAAAATGTGTATGCATCTGTGGCAGAGAAATAAATTGAATATATATTTATATTATGTACATATGTGTACATATTTCTGCTACATTAAATATGTCAAATAGTTTGTGATCCTTTTGTTTTTTTTTTACATTGTGGGTGGTGTGAGAGAGTTCCACAACTGTTATGTGCGTCACTGATTCCTCACCTCTCATAGTGAGTTCACAGGGAGCAGTGCTTGGGGGAGGGGAGGGGGGGGGGGGGGGTATAGGGGTCAATTGGGGAAGAATTGTGTGATATAAGGGTCCATTTTGTACTGTGTGGTTTGTAGATGTTGTATGTGGCATAGGTCTAAAGTTTGGTGTCTGTGTGTCGATGCGCTTCTTACATTGTTGTTTTATATTGTGTAAGACTTAAAATTTCCCCCCCCCCCCCCCCCCTTTTCACTGTACCCATGTGTTTGTGACCTTCACCTGTCACATGTACTCAGTGAACATTAGATGTAACACAAGTGAACAAGCAGCGCGGGACCAGAGTTACCACAGCTGCTCACCCATACAGCCACCTGCTCCAAGACTGCGTCTCAACCTCTTTATACTTAATAAAGTTAGGGACCCTATTCTACACGCTCAGCTGCACTGGGCACATAGGGTTAGACCTATATTTTAGAGACAACTCTCGGTGGGTGACATGGTCGTCAACATCACGCCAGCCGCCCAGACTGTCCCTGGTGAGCTCTACCAGGAAGTCAGTGTCATTTTTGAAACCTGGTTCTGTCAGGACCTGAAACCCACGGCCTTCGAATCGATAGGCGAGCATCTAGCCGTTACACCACGGCAGCTCCCGACCTTTTATACTAGCACATCTCTTTAGTGAATGAATTCATCAGAAATTGACGTCACAGCACACAGGACTTTCCCCACATATGCTCCACCAGGTGCCCACCCTGATCTTTCATCAAGAACCAGCCTAAGTTCCTACCTATCCATTTGGTTGAATCTTCAATCCTTGTTCACAGCGGTGAATCATAGATCAGGAAAGTGCAATATGTAAGGCGTCATAGTTAAGAGACAGGGGGAAGATCTAATCACACATGACGCGATGGTTGGGACAACAGGAAGGCTATCATTACAGAAATCAAATACAGAAGCTCTGGAAACACTGCCTATGACAAAATAACTTTTTGATACAGGAGGGAAAGATCAGTGGCAAGGGGTAGACACCAAAACAAGTGGGAGGACAACATCAAGACAAGATAAAACAGAGAGAGTGTACAACCAAAAGATTGCACATGTTGGAGATCTATAGCAGCCAACCTTCACTGTGGAGACGGAAGCTGACTAAAACATTAGTAGTAACAATTTTACTGGTGAGCACCCACACCTGGCAGCTTTCGTTGAACTACTTAGTCAAAGAATTCATGCACAACAATTAGTTTCTAGCAACTATTGAAAAACAAACTGCAATTATTTGAATTCATGCACAACAATTAGTTTCTAGCAACTATTGAAAAACAAACTGCAATTATTTGAATTCATGCACAACAATTAGTTTCTAGCAACTATTGAAAAACAAACTGCAATTATTTATTTTAAAAAAAAAGTAATCATAATTTGGTAGCAGACATTAAAGCAAAACAATTAGTCCTGATGCATGTGTGACCAAATCTATGAATGGCAATGAAGATCTTTGTTGAACAGCCAACGAGCTTTGAGGATCTCGTGTGTAAGAAAGATATTTGTGCAGAAATAGCAAGGGCATCTCATCAAACAGACTAATCCATTCTTCTGTGGTCTATTTGTCAATCTTCACCACAATGTACTGTTCTGTCTGTTTGTCATTCTCCACTGGTGTTTAGGCCATCAATCAAGCCGCCACCACCTGCAACATCATTGGTTTGCCATCTTGTGCAGTTCCTGCCTACAGTTCCTCCTCTGCTCGCTTGCCACTTTCATCAGTCTTCTTCGCATTCACCGGCTGATCATCCACCTCTGAACTTTAGACTTATTCCAGAACCTAAATGTTGCGTGCACATCCGTTTTACAGACCTGACCTATTTGTATGGCTATGTTATATGACCTTCTCGTCTTCCTAGATGATAACGTGCATTCTGGGACATAGGGATCACAGCCAGGGGCGATGGCGAGTGTGACTAGCAAGACCTGCGCTAAGAAAATACGTCAGTTTTACAGCAGAGCAAACGCCAGCATTTCGCTGTCTTTCATTTCACTGGGCAATTTTACGTTCATTATTTAGCGATTGCTTACTGAAAGGTCGGCTCTCAATATGGCTGTTGAAACAAACACTGGATGGTCTGATGCTGCCAGATCGCCCGCAGCTGGGATCGAATCCCAAACCTCGAAGTAATGAAGGGTGTTCTCAACGCCTAAGCTACAGACGCTAACAAGCACCTTAACCTGTCTAGTGCTTGTATCCATTGTCCTTTTTACCTTTCTAATCCCCCCCCCCCCCCCCCCCCCATGCGATTCTATCTATGGCAGCCTGTTTCCCATGAATCCATCCAGCTCAGTGAAGGCTTCAAGGGCTGCTATACTTCCTCACTACATTCTACATCCCAGGTTTATTTCATGAACATCCAATCGTTTCCTGCTCCTATAGCGGGCAAGAATAGATTTGCAACATCATTACCATGGATACAATTCCTTTCCTGTCTCTAAGAGTCCATGCCATGTGCTGTTGGCAGTAATGTCTATTCTTTATCTTCTGTAACACTTACCTCCGATTCAGGTGTTCCTCCCCTCCAATACAGGTGTTCCTCACCTCCAATACAGGTGTTCCTCACCTCCGATACAGGTGTTCCTCACATCCGATACAGGTGTTCCTCACCTCCAATACAGGTGTTCCTCACCTCCGATACAGGTGTTCCTCACATCCGATACAGGTGTTCCTCGCCACCGATACAGGCGTTCTTCACCACCGATACAGGTGTTCCTCATCTCCGATACAGGTGTTCCTCACCACCGATACAGGTAAGGAAAAAGTTCATCACCACCGATAAAGGTGTTCCTCACCTCCGATACAGGTGTTCCTCACCTGCGATACAGGTGTTCCTCATCTCTGATACAGGTGTTCCTCACCTCCGATACAGGTAAGGTAAAAATTCATCACCACTGATACAGGTGTTCATCACCACCAATACAGGTGTTCCTCACCACCGATACAGGTGTTCCTCACCACCGATACAGGTGTTCCTCACCACCGATACAGGTGTTCCTCACCTCCGATACAGGTGTTCCTCATCTCCGATACAGGTGTTCCTCACCTCCGATACAGGTGTTCCTCACCTCCGATATAGGTGTTCCTCACCTCCGATACAGGTGCTCCTCATCTCCGATACAGGTGTTCCTCACCTCCGATACAGGTGTTCCTCACCTCCGATACAGGAGTTCCTCACCACCGATACAGGAGTTCCTCACCTCGGATACAGGAGTTTCTCACCTCGGATACAGGAGTTCCTCACCTCCGATACAGGAGTTCCTCACCACCGTTACAGGTGTTCCTCACCTCCGATACAGGTGTTCCTCCACGTGTGATGTCGAATTGTCCAGCATCTCTTCTTTCTGACTCCATCTGCCCCTCTTCCTTCCAGAGAAGGTTGACTGTCTCCCTGTGATGTGTAATTACTTCTTGTAGCGGCTTGATTTCTTTTGTATATCTCAATTATGCTATTGATCTGTCCATGATGTTCTCATCATTGACTATAAAACCCACAGCCCTGCGGCTTCGTCGCTATTGTTGACCATCAGTTGAGTGTCCATGGTTCACTACGATTAGTGACGTGTGCTGGTCACCAAGTGGATTTCACAGACGGTGATATTACAGGAAAACGATTAGTAAGATAACAGGATGTTGGCACAACATTTGAGAACTTGTTAGTGAAAACTTTCTTCCTCTCGGGGTTTCTATTTTAAGGATGAAAACAGAAACATGTCGTAAAAAGCCAACTAATTAGAGGCATTTCCGCTAGAGGTTTGGAGTGTATCTGCACGACAGGCGAGGAACCAAACAGTCTGTATACATATCAGCAAGATCTGTACAATGTCAACTTTATAAAATAATTCAGTGGGATGTCAGGAGAACGGTCAAATAACAGAATGAGTCTCGTTTCCAGGAATTAGGCAATTTCGATGGAGACAACTCTGGTTTATAACAGTTGCCGATAATTAAACACGCCACAGCCGTCATTAAAAAACAACGGTTAGATTATACTGTAGATAAAATCTGCCCTATTTTCTGGCCTGGCGTTGTGAAGCGCCATGTTTCTACATATCAATGAGCACTGAAGAATTGATACGTAGGCACCATGGCACTTAACACCGTAGGCACCATGGCACTTACACTATACACTGTGGGCACCATGGCACTTACATCATACACTGTGGGCACCATGGTGCTTACATCATACACTGTGGGCACCATGACACTTACATCATACACTGTGTGCACCATAGCACTTACATCATACACTGTGGGCACCATGGCACTTACACCATACAGGTACCATGGCACTTACACAATACACTGTGGGCACTATGACGCTTAAAACACACACTGTGGGCGTCATGGTGCTTACATCATACACTGTGGGCACCATGGCGCTTACATTATACACTATGGGCACCATGGTGCTTACATCATACACTGTGGGCACCATCATGCTTACATCATACACTGTGGCCACCATGGCACTTACACCATACACTGTGGGCGCCATGGTGCTTACATCATACACTGTGGGCACCATGGCATTTACATCATACACTGTGGGCACCATGGCACTTACATCACACACTGTGGGCATCATGGTGCTTACATCATACACTGTGGGCACCATGGCGCTTACATCATACACTGTAGCTGCCATGGCACTTACACCATACACTGTGGGCATTATGGCACTTATATCACACACTGTGGGCAACATGACACTTACACCACACACTGTGGGCACTATGGTACTTACATCATATACTGTGGGCACCATGGTACTTACATCATACACTGTGGGCACCATGGTACTTACATCATACACTGCGCGCACCATGGCACTTACATCATACACTGTGGGCACCATGGCACTTACACCATACACTGTGGGCACTATGGTGCTTACATCATACACTGTGGGCACCATGGTACTTACACCATACACTGTGGGCACCATGGTACTTACACCATACACTGTGGGCACCATGGTACTTACACCATACACTGTGGGCACCATGGTACTTACACCATACACTGTGGGCACCATGGTACTTACACCATACACTGTGGGCACCATGGTACTTACACCATACACTGTGGGCACTATGGTGCTTACATCATACACTGTGGGCACCATGGCACTTACACCATACACTGTGGGCACCATGGTACTTACACCATACACTGTGGGCACCATGGTACTTACACCATACACTGTGGGCACCATGGTACTTACACCATACACTGTGGGCACCATGGTACTTACACCATACACTGTGTGGGCACCATGGTACTTACACCATACACTGTGGGCACTATGGTGCTTACATCATACACTGTGGGCACCATGGTACTTACACCATACACTGTGGGCACCATGGTACTTACACCATACACTGTGGGCACCATGGTACTTACACCATACACTGTGGGCACTATGGTGCTTACATCATACACTGTGGGCACCATGGCACTTACACCATACACTGTGGGCACCATGGTACTTACACCATACACTGTGGGCACCATGGTACTTACACCATACACTGTGGGCACCATGGTACTTACACCATACACTGTGGGCACCATGGTACTTACATCATACACTGCGCGCACCATGGCACTTACATCATACACTATGGGCACTATGGTACTTACACCATACACTGTGGGCACTATGGTGCTTACATCATACACTGTGGGCACCATGGCACTTACACCATACACTGTGGGCACCATGACACTAACATCACACACTGTGGACACTATGGCACTTTCATCATACACTGTGGTAACTATGGCACTTACATCATAGCTTTGGGTACTATGGCACTTACATCATACACTGTGGGCACTATGGTACTTACATCATACACTGTGGGCACCATGGCTCTTACATCATATGCTTTGGGCACCATGGCACTTACATCAAATGCTTTGGGCACCATGGCACTTACACCATATGCTTTGGGTACTATGGCACTTACATCATACACTGTGGGCACTATGGCACTTACATCATACACTTTGGGTACCATGGCACTTACATCATATGCTTTGGGCACCATGGCACTTACATCACATGCTTTGGGTACTATGGCACTTACATCATACACTGTGGGCACTATGGCACTTTCATCATACACTGTGGGCACTATGGCCCTTACATTATACACTTTGGGTACCATGGCACTTACAACATTCACTTGGGTAGGATGGCACTTACATCACTCACTTGGGTAGGATGGCACTTACAACATACACTGTTGACGCCAATGTGTTTTATGTAGCTTATTTGTATGAAGACTGTCGGTTCCTCACCTCTGGGGCATATGTACTCCGACTGCACAGGTAACAACCACGATTAGTCGTCTTTTACTTTACGATATGCTTGTGAGGATCAGTGAATCTATCCTCTTTTCTATAAAAAAAAAAAATGGGGCCCTAGCCTACATGAGGAACCTGGACATTTAAACTACAGGTTAGATCGCTAAAGACGGCGCACAATGATATCTGCAAAATTAACCAACCAATCAGCTTCTGTGACCAGAGCACCACCAGCGAGTCTACTAGGTGACTTTACGACACGCAGTGAAACTACCAGCGGGTTTCCTAAACAAATACGACCTTAAAAGTTCTAGCATGATTTGTTTAGGACTGTCATCATATAAGCCCCGCCTCAAATTAAAAACCTAGTTAAAATCTCGCCAGCCAGACAGGTGGATCTCGTTAGTCCGCTGAAACACATGGCAGAACTCAATTATAAAGCAATGAATACATAAATACTTGATTATATGAGGATTTTTGCACAATTATGTTTTCGTTGGTGGGAAATAATATACTTTTGATAGCAATGATTAATATAATACCCGGTCTTTTTTTTTTAAGGGTAACACAGTAGTGGTTTCAATAAGCAGAATCAATCATGTGTGATTTGTCCCCCAATAAGGACACATACACGGTTGACTAACTAGGAAACATACGCACTGAACATGTGGTGGGGCCAGGTATTACATGACATTAACATGCACATCATGGACGATGTAATCAGTATATCGATAGCATTACATTTTCCTAGTTCCTGTTTCAGAGGTAGTAGACTTGCAAACCAAAAAAATGGGGGGGGGGGGGGGGGGGGGGGGATTACAGTGGTGTTATGACAACTTACTAGCAGACAGATGGCTGGTTTCAAGACTGACGTTGTCTAACCCAAGACGGTTGGTTTCAAGACTGACGTTGTCTAACCCAAGACGGTTGGTTTCAAGACTGACATTGTCTAACCCAAGGCGGTTGGTTTCAAGACTGATGTTGTCTAACCCAAGACGGTTGGTTTCAAGACTGACATTGTCTAACCCAAGACGGTTGGTTTCAAGACTGACGTTGTCTAACCCAAGACGGTTGGTTTCAAGACTGACGTTGTCTAACCCAAGACGGTTGGTTTCAAGACTGACGTTGTCTAACCCAAGACGGTTGGTTTCAAGACTGACGTTGTCTAACCCAAGACGGTTGGTTTCAAGACTGACGTTGTCTAACCCAAGACGGTTGGTTTCAAGACTGACGTTGTCTAACCCAAGACGGTTGGTTTCAAGACTGACGTTGTCTAACCCAAGACGGCTGGTTTCAAGACTGACGTTGTCTAACCCAAGACGGTTGGTTTGAAGACTGACGTTGTCTAACCCAAGACGGTTGGTTTCAAGACTGACGTTGTCTAACCCAAGACGGTTGGTTTCAAGACTGACGTTGTCTAACCCAAGACGGCTGGTTTCAAGACTGACGTTGTCTAACCCAAGACGGTTGGTTTGAAGACTGACATTGTCTAACCCCAGCAGATCTGGGTAATCTACCGCCTGGATGATTTTAGTATGCAGAAAACAAGAACGACAGATGGGGGAAGTCGAGTGCTGGTTGCTTGGAAGAGTGCTTTTTGAACACCTAATAAGGTCATCAGCAGTTGTCAGTAAGAAGGCTACACTTCAGACTAGGAATAAATTGCGTACTGTTTGTGCAAGCCTAGTGTATACACATGTGGATCTGTACTACAGATTTCGCGCACCGTTCTGAGAACCCATATATGATTTTTTTTAGAGGAATCTATGGTGTGTAAAGAGGTCTCGGTGGAAACTGACAGCCAATCCTCGTAAGCGAAATCATAGTTTTTTTTTTCTTTTCCCAGTTGATAACCATCACAAACAACTATTTGCCTTTCGATGACAGTTCCTGTGTCATCTGGTAGAATTTGACAGTGTGGTCTAATGGAAGATAGACATAGGGACTCCGGCTGAATGTTTCCTTGATGCTATACTTCTTCACACTGGATAAGTGGCATCTACTTAGGTGGTAGCGATAGGAGCCTTTCGAGACAAATCTACGTCTACAGGCTCCACAATTATGGCCATTAACATTACTTTCACCGGTGCCAGTTTCTCTCATATAAGTCTCATCATCCTCATTATCTTCAGTGTCACAAGTGCTACAAGTCTGGCCACGCCCAGAAATCATGCTCGGTGATGTGAACATGTCACTGCTGCAGCAGTTGTGGGGCGCATCCACTGAATGATGGTCAGGGTCAGTAGAAAGATGTGAAAGGTCATTTGTCGCCAGAAGTCGCTGTAGATTGTCCAGCGGGTGCTCCGTGGACAGTGGCTGACTGTACACAAAAGAACTTAAATAGTCTAAAGCAGACTTCTTGTTCTTCATTCTGTGTACTTTACTGGCGTTCAAATTTGTCTCACTCTCTGACAGAAACTTTGGATTCTTGATCTGGACGCTTGTTTCTTGATTCTTTTTCTCATGTACACCTGCCTGTTTGTACTGATATTTTTCTTTGATAGCCTCGTTCTTTAACCTCACAATCTTCTCAACGTACACTGATTTTAAGTGTGTCAGCGTGTCCCCACATTGTATCAATGATTTATTCTTACACTTCGAAGAACCTGTTTCTTGGCAATCAAAACCTAATAGTTGAGATCCACTGTTATTCTTACAATGCCTTTCATTGTTATGCTCCACACCCGTGTCCTCCTTCCCTTCTCCACGATGTACATCATTTCCAGAATGAGGGACTTCCAACTTTATCACGTTTTCACACCAGTTCCTGGAAACAGCACAGTCATTATCATTATGGCACACACTATGGCTGCTATTCTCCGTACTGATCACATTTTTCATGGATACCATGTTAAGATTTTGTGATATATTTGTATCACTAATGACTTCATCATCAACAATGTTTTCTATCTTGATTTGCATGTTTGTACACTTTCCCTTAGGTATATTTTTTCTAGCCATGTCGGATATCAAGTCATCAAAATGTCTGTCCAATCTATTTTCAGTATTTACATCCATGTCAGAAATATCACATGATAAAAAATCATTTTCACAATTAGTAACCCCACACAACACATCTCTATCAGGCACAGTTTCCCGCTCAACCCAGGTAGATTTTGTGGAGGTAGTCAACTTCATTTCATTTTCCTTGTGAGAGCCTGACCTGCAACTGTCTGACCTGCAACTGTCTGACCTGCAAGTGTCTGACCTGCAACTGTCTGACCTGCAACTGTCTGACCTGCAACTGTCTGACCTGCAACTGTCTGACCTGCTACTGTCTGACCTGCTAGTTTCATGCTCCTTACCAAAGGCATCCTTTAAAGATTCAGTTAGAATGTCCATATACACATTTCTAGAAACAGCGTCGCCTATGTCCTGCTGAACGAAATCTGTAACAAAGCTCTCATTCCCTGTTTCTGCTCTATCATTGACACACAAGCAAGATTCTAGTTTTATTATGCGTCCAAATTTATCATTCGTTGCTGTAGGTTTGCTATACATCTTGTGTTCAGGGATTTCCAGTGATAAATTCAAGTTCTTTTCTTTGGCTTTTTCTTCGTTTGGTTTAACAAAAACTCTTTCTTTAATTGGCTTTTCTTCTCTTTCTGTTTTCACTGAGATATCTGTGTCAACTTTACTTTCGTCAACACGTATATTAAAAACATCTTCTGCAACCTCTCTGTTATTTTGTCTTTGACCAACCTCGGTTTGAAGTGTAAGTTTAGTTGTCTCAGGTGACAACTTACCATTACTGTTCTGAGCCACCATTTGGACTAGAGCCATCTTTACCTCTGAGCTCAATTCATTGTTCACCAGCTCTGTGCCAAATTGAATTTTCACATCTTTAATGTTAACTTGACTTTTACAAGCAGCTGAAACATTGGCAATATTATCATTTGTTGACATCTCATCACCTTTCCACATGGTGTCTTCTTCATTATTCTCACTTTTCACAGTTGTAACAAATGGATCTCCTTGCTGACTGTAAAATAAGCCAGTTCCTCTAGTTGAGCTTACAGTCCCTAAATTTGGCCGAAATTCCTCATTTCTCTGTCTTTCCTGTCCCACAGTTAATGATTCGTCATGTGCAAGCCGCCCAGCTGAACTGTTCACTGGCTTAACGAAGAAGGGTCCAGACAAGACACTGTCATCTGTACAGTGAGCCTTTGTGTTCCCCAAGATTTTGTCTCCTAGTCTACAAAGATCCTGTGCAACAGTCTCACCAACCATAGTTTCAAGGGAACTGATATATTTATGGTTCTGTTCAGCAATTAAATGGTTGGCAAAACTGCTATGTTTAGGGTTCTTTTTAGCAACAGAAACAGGAGTACTATCAAATGTGTGGTTCTCTTGAACAGCCATTGCATCTGGAGAACTACCACATACATGGCTCTTTTGAGCAGCGAAGAGATCAGGAGAGCTTCTACATTTATAGTTCTCTTTCTTGATTGTGGGAATAACTTCTGTTCTGTTGTTTTTGGAATTATCATCAGCTTGACATATAGTTCCTTTTTTATAGCCTTGGGGTAGCTCTAATTTATAGCTGACCCCTAGACCAGCAGAAATTAGAGTGAACGCCCCTTGGTGATATTCAGACAGTGACATCAATGCTGCTGGACTGCTGGTATTCAACTCAGAACAGTTGATGTTAGCCTCTCTCTTGATCGCATCCCCTGCAGGAGATAATGTACTTCTGGAATACTTTGGAATTCCAGGCACCATCTTGAAAAATCTGGAAAATTTTGCCAATTGAGATGCAGGTTCATTTGGTGAATCCAGCAACATCTCAGCATGAGATAGCAAGGATCCTGGATCAGGAAAATAGTTTCTTAAAGGAATTAACATGGAAGTCAAGCTTGGGGAGCATAACTGAGGGGTGGCACTGAAGCTTTTGTTGATAAAAGATTCCATAGCTTCCAGAGCAGATGGGGCAGATGTCGCGTCGTGAAGATCTACCTCAGGGTTGATGATGTCAAAGGTCATGTTAACGTTTGATGTACTTGGAGATTCTGGTTTCAAATACTGTAAATGAGGTGATGAAACAGTGTGGGGAGATCTGATACCTGGTGGAGATTTGGATATGGGGGATCTGAGGTAAATCGGTAATGGTTCTTTCTTACTTGTGACTTTAGATTGCTTGGGACTTAGCAACTTGGTTTCTAGTGGATTAGTTCTCTTGGGTGGTGACAGTTGTAAACCCCGAGAAAAAAGGTCTAACTTGTATAGGGCAGAGTATGTATAATCTAATGACTCTAGTGTGGATTCCAGCACACGTCTGTCCCTATGCTGCTCTATTTTACTTAAGTCATCAAATACCAACAAATCTCTTTCAGAATCACATAGGCCATCATCTCCATGCCTTAGTTCTGATTTCAATGTGTGCGCCACTTCTTTGTGTGAAGTTTCTGGCTCTGTATTTTTCGGTTCAAAACAAGAGTTACACTTTTGTTGATTTATTGGAGAAGAAACCGTTCGCTTGTTAAAGTTCACTGGCCAATTATTATCATCACCTGCAGACATGAAACATCTGTTGACTTCCTGTCTAGATTCACTGTGCGAACACAACTTTTTATGAGGCACCTCATACAAGTCACAAAGTCTGGTACCAGGTAATGCACAATGTTTTGTACTGGGTGATGCAAAATGTTTTGTACTTGGTGATGCACAATGTTTTGTACTTGGTGATGCACAATGTTTTGTACTTGGTGATGCACAATGTTTTGTACTTGGTGATGCACAATGTTTTGTACTTGGTGATGCACAATATTTTGTACTGGGTGATGCACAAAGCCTTGTACTGGGTGATGCACAAAGCCTTGTACTGGATGATGCACTATGTCTGATCATTTGTCCCGGGTCTGATAAAGGAGTGGAACACCTTCTTTCAGGAAACATTATTTCCACAGAATTTTCAGATAAGCTTTTCTCGGAACTCGGGAGACATCCAGACTCGTCTTCACTGCAGACAGATTCGGTCTTTGTCAATGCAAGACAACTGATTTTCTGCTGGTGAGTAGCAGAATCTACACTGCAGTTGGGTTTCAGAAGTTGACCCTCAGACCTGGACAGATCTTCCTTTAGAGCCAGCCTGTTTCCCATAAGTTCTACGACCTCCACCTTCTGCCTCAGACACTCTCGAACATGTGAGTTGAAGGTCTGGCTCTCCATGTTTTTCTCACAGATACCACACGTGGCTAGCATTACAGACACGGATTCTGGAGAGGTGCTATGCCCCGAACTGATGTCCTTCCTTTCATGTTTTCTCCTGTAATTCAACGAGGCAACAGTAAACCTGCTAGCAGCAATTGGTAACATATCATCTTGAGAAAACCTTTTCCGCTTCCCCTGTCGAGACGTGGCTGAACCATCCCCAGGCACTGCTGCAGGGTCCACCAGATGACGTGGCATCTGCTTTATGTGATGCCCAGATACTAATACGTGACGTGGCATCTGTTTTATGTGGTGTCCAGATACCACCATGTGACTAGCAAGTTTTTCCATGTCTCCGAATATCTTATGGCAAACCTTACATTTAAAAACACATTCTTGGTGCAGTTCTCGGCCACAGTATGTGGAACATTTGTGTGGTCGCCTGGCGTGGTCCGAGTTGACGATTTTGGTGTAATGCTGGGTCTGCATCATGTGGACCGTCAGCAGAGGCAGTGACTCGAAAGACTGGCCACACTGGATGCACCGAAGTATGCGCCTGGTCTGCTCGGATTCTTGGTTCAGCCACATATCTTGTCCCCGCACCAGTTTTGGGTAATCCATGGGAGATGCCTGTTTACTGGAGATGGGAGTGTGGCCCGTTTCTTGCAGATGCAGGCTCAAAGAGTAAAGTGTGCTGAAAGTGTTCTGACAGGAGCATCGATGTGTAGTGTGCCTACTCCAGCCACTACTAGCAGGTTCATCGCCTAACATGGGCGATTCTACCATGTTGCTTTCTTCTTTAACAACTCCATGATCAACTGCCGTCATATCGTGCTCTTCTGGTGTATCAACTTGACACATCAGATTTAGTTTTTGTAATCCTGCAGATGGTGGACCGTTATTTGTGGGTCGTACTCCGTTAAGACTGACCGCTGACTTGCAGGTGATGTTCGCTGGCAAAGGAATCACCGAGGTCGCAGACTTGTGTAATGGATGCAAGGGGACATCGTCTCCAAACCTCTGCTGCAGACTCCGGAGACTAGAGAAATCTGTGGCCGGTAGCGGGATGGTAGTAGCAGAATCAGAGCAGCTTCGATGTCTCAAGGCCACCATCTTTGTCTCTGTGGTAGAGAAGGATGCAGATCGGACAGCTTTCCTGGACAAATCCAGCGGCTGGTCATCCTGCTGTTCCTGTGCTGAAGATGAGAAACGGGTCATGCCTGGCTGTGTGTGGTTCTGAGAGTTTTGGCTACCGTAGACTAACCCAAAGGGCAAGGTTGACATAACTAGCGCCATCTGTGGCAGAATACCAGTGGAAGCAAGCGCAGGAGACGACGAGACAGAAGATGCTGCACTTGTTTTCTCTTGTCTATTGCTATCACAGTGGGAATCTGGTTTAATTGAGGGAAAGTTTTCTGTCAGCTGTACTAAGCCTAAGGTTTCTTGCTTCCGAGTACCGTGCTTCTTTGGTATACAGATGTCTCTGCCACAACCCAGACTAGAACCGTTGCTATTATACACACATTCACCAGCCTGTCCATTATCTGATCTATCTTCACTACAGGACAGATGATGTGGGCTGTCATCAGACTCCCTACTTATGTGTCCATTACCTAGTACACAAGGAGGTGCCCTAAGCACATCAACTTGCAAGCCTCCAGACGTGTCCTCTTCTGATGTAGTGTCTCCATCTGTATCCTCCAGTCGGCTCTCTGAGATCACTCGTCTGCAACCAACCCAAACCTGACTGGAGATGTCTTTGGAGCAATTGTCCAGACCTGCAATCAAACAATGATATAATCATTTCTTTTTTTTTTTGGGTTAAAACACCCCCCCCCCCCTCCCCTTGTGATAAATAATGACAAATACAATGATTGTCTCAAAGACCCTGCACACTTTAATGGTTAGTGTTATACTTGTGAAAACAGTTTAACGATTTGTGTTATACTTTTCAGAACAGTTTACAGTTTAACGGTTAGTGTTATATCTGTCAGAACAGTTTAACGGTTTGTGTTATATTTGTTGGCTTAGCTGACTTGAGATCATCAACCAGAAATGGCCGAATGTTTTCTAGTTAAAAGCAAAATATAAATAAACCGGGGGGATTGGGCGGCGTAATTGTGTTCTCTATCACAGACAAGGGTGGTTGAGTCTGTGGTTACCCAACAGACAAGGGTGGTTGAGTCTGTGGTTACCCAACAGACAAGGGTGGTTGAGTCTGTGGTTACCCAGCAGACAAGGGTGGTTGAGTCTGTGGTGAATCGTTTGAATTATCTTGTGAATAAGACGCACTGAAGATTTCTGAACAATCGTTTCTGAGGGTAAAATGTCCTTTTGAAATATTCGGAACATCGAAATTTGCTATAAAGCTATAACGTGTGCGGTCAATAAGGTTGTTTAATTGTTAAACAGAACCTAGAAATGTAAGTGTGTGAGGCCTGGGTACCAGCAGATGTAAGTGTGTGAGGTCTGGGTACCAGCAGATGTAAGTGTGTGAGGTCTGGGTACCAGCAGATGTAAGTGTGAGGCCTGGGTACCAGCATATGTAAGTGTGAGGCCTGGGTACCAGCAGATGTAAGTGTGTGAGGTCTGGGTACCAGCAGATGTAAGTGTGTGAGGTCTGGGTACCAGCGGATGTAAGTGTGTGAGGTCTGGGTACCAGCAGATGTAAGTGTGAGGCCTGGGTACCAGCATATGTAAGTGTGAGGCCTGGGTACCAGCAGATGTAAGTGTGTGAGGTCTGGGTACCAGCGGATGTAAGTGTGTGAGGTCTGGGTACCAGCAGATGTAAGTGTGTGAGGTCTGGGTACCAGCAGATGTAAGTGTGAGGCCTGGGTACCAGCATATGTAAGTGTGAGGCCTGGGTACCAGCAGATGTAAGTGTGTGAGGTCTGGGTACCAGCGGATGTAAGTGTGTGAGGTCTGGGTACCAGCAGATGTAAGTGTGAGGCCTGGGTACCAGCATATGTAAGTGTGAGGTCTGGGTACCAGCAGATGTAAGTGTGTGAGGTCTGGGTACCAGCGGATGTAAGTGTGTGAGGTCTGGGTACCAGCAGATGTAAGTGTGAGGCCTGGGTACCAGCATATGTAAGTGTGAGGCCTGGGTACCAGCAGATGTAAGTGTGTGAGGTCTGGGTACCAGCAGATGTAAGTGTGAGGCCTGGGTACCAGCATATGTAAGTGTGAGGCCTGGGTACCAGCAGATGTAAGTGTGTGAGGTCTGGGTACCAGCAGATGTAAGTGTGTGAGGTCTGGGTACCAGCGGATGTAAGTGTGTGAGGTCTGGGTACCAGCAGATGTAAGTGTGAGGCCTGGGTACCAGCAGATGTAAGTGTGTGAGGTCTGGGTACCAGCAGATGTAAGTGTGTGAGGTCTGGGTACCAGCGGATGTAAGTGTGTGAGGTCTGGGTACCAGCAGATGTAAGTGTGAGGCCTGGGTACCAGCAGATGTAAGTGTGTGAGGCCTGGGTACCAGCAGATGTAAGTGTGTGAGGCCTGGGTACCAGCAGATGTAAGTGTACCAGCAGATGTGGGGAGAAACAACTGATGGCGGTTTAATGGCTTCTGTGAAACATGCAGTTAATACAATAAACAAACAAATGTGGCATCGATGTCAACTTGTTAGTCAAAGATTAACTTCTTCGGCAGTAAACTGCAGCGGAATCTTCTGGATATTCGTCAATTCTAGACTTGAGTCATATTTCAGAAAAGTTTAAAACTACCCCGACGAGGATGTCAATACAGTAGCATTGGGCTACAAGGCGAGAGTGCTAGCCATTAGTTCACGTGGCTCAGACCCACTGTTGGCTATAGTAAGAAGAAAACAACGTTTATACAAGCAGCGACTAGTAAGCATTCATCCTCACTGCACTTAGAACCGTTTCTGTGTGAAAGGTACTAGTACTACGATGACTGCTGCGTACGCATACTCTTAACGGCTAACCAACAAAATGAAAAATATCACGTGATACCGTCCAGTGTGTAATCCCTACCTGATAAAGCTTACACCTGCATATTATCACACCTCACTATATATATATATATATATATATATATATATATATATATATATATATATATATATATATATATATATAACACGCGCGCGGGGGCGCACGCACGCACACAAAAAACTCTGCGATATTTAAAATAAATCACAAAATAAAGACTTTAATATTAACAGTTGTGGAGAACTAATGGTACACTAACCTTCTTATCCACTGTTACAAGAACTGACCAAGCGGTCAGAGGCGTGTGACTGCCCGCTCAGCCTCCAACTACCAGAATGTGGCAAGGGTCTGGTTTTGCCAGCACAACTCTACCTATCTGTCCAGGACACGCGCAGACTCAACCGTTGGAGATTCTAGCTGTCACCGCACTTATTTCCACAGCGGGCGACAATTTCACAAATCACCGGGGGGGGGGATTAGGCGGCGTAATTGTGTTCTCTATCACAGACAAGAGTGGTTGAGTCTGTGGTTACCCAACAGACAAGGGTGGTTGAGTCTGTGGTTACCCAACAGACAAGGGTGGTTGAGTCTGTGGTTACCCAACAGACAAGGGTGGTTGAGTCTGTGGTTACCCAACAGACAAGGGTGGTTGAGTCTGTGGTTACCCAACAGACAAGGGTGGTTGAGTCTGTGGTTACCCAACAGACAAGGGTGGTTGAGTCTGTGGTTACCCAACAGACAAGGGTGGTTGAGTCTGTGGTTACCCAACAGACAAGGGTGGTTGAGTCTGTGGTTACCCAACAGACAAGGGTGGTTGAGTCTGTGGTTACCCAACAGCCAACTTGTGTCCTGTAAGTTAACGGTTCGATTCTTCTAAAGATACCTCAGTGGAGTTCACATGTGCCAAATTAAGATAGATTGTATATAAAAAGAGAGCCAAATCTACTTTATGGCCGGCGTGATGTTGACCACATCACCCACCAAGTGCCGCTTAGTCTATTCAATCTTGGACTAGCCCTATATGCCCAATACGACTGAATGCGTAGAATTGTTCTAAAAAAGTTCTTTAGGTGAATATTAGTTTTTTTTTAACAGCACTATGTTTACACATGGGGTGGGGGGGGGGGAAATTAAAAACAAGACTTACGGTACCTCTACATCCCAGGGTAGGAGAGGAAACGCTAAACAAGGGTGTAAGGTACCTCTACATCCCAGGGTAGGAGAGGAAACGCTAAACAAGGGTGTAAGGTACATCTAAATCCCAGGGTAGAAGAAGAAAGACTAAACAAGGGTGTACGGTACCTCTACATCCCAGGGTAGGAGAGGAAACGCTGAACAAGGATGTAAGGTACCTCTACATCCCAGGGTAGGAGAGGAAACGCTGAACAAGGGTGTAAGGTACCTCTACATCCCAGGGTAGAAGAAGAAAGACTAAACAAGGGTGTACGGTACCTCTACATCCCAGGGTAGGAGAGGAAACGCTGAACAAGGGTGTAAGGTACCTCTACATCCCAGGGTAGGAGAGGAAACGCTGAACAAGGGTGTAAGGTACCTCTACATCCCAGGGTAGAAGAAGAAAGACTAAACAAGGGTGTACGGTACCTCTACATCCCAGGGTAGGAGAGGAAACGCTAAGCAAGGGTGTAAGGTACCTCTACATCCCAGGGTAGAAGAAGAAAGACTAAACAAGGGTGTACGGTACCTCTACATCCCAGGGTAGGAGAGGAAACGCTGAACAAGACGGTAAGGTACCTCTACATCCCAGGGTAGGAAAGGAAACGCTGAACAAGACGGTAAGGTACATCTACATCCCAGGGTAGAAGAAGAAAGACTAAACAAGGATGTAAGGTACATCTACATCCCAGGGTAGAAGAAGAAAGACTAAACAAGGGTGTACGGTACCTCTACATCCCAGGGTAGAAGAAGAAAGACTAAACAAGGGTGTACGGTACATCTACATCCAAGGGTAGAAGAAGAAAGACTAAACAAGGGTGTACGGTACCTCTACATCCCAGGGTAGAAGAAGAAAGACTAAACAAGACGGTAAGGTACATCTACATCCCAGGGTAGAAGAAGAAAGACTAAACAAGGGTGTACGGTACCTCTACATCCCAGGGTAGAAGAAGAAAGACTAAACAAGGATGTAAGGTACATCTACATCCCAGGGTAGAAGAAGAAAGACTAAACAAGGGTGTACGGTACCTCTACATCCAAGGGTAGAAGAAGAAAGACTAAACAAGGGTGTACGGTGTTTTTTCAACTCAGATTAGAAAAGTAAACAATAACTAAATGAAACTAATTAGAGAAAAAATAAATAAATGCATTAGCGTCAAACAGGAGTAAAAG